TTAGAGCTTGAATATTACATGACATCATACTTTCAACATTTCTAAAGAAGGCAGGTATAAAAAAAATACCAGTGCTTTTTTCTTTCCACTATTCCTGCAAAAATCAAATAAGTCCACAAGGGAGATGTTAAATTTATTGCTCCAAGAAACCGGCCAAAAGTCAACATTACAGACTGGATACGTCATAATATGGCAGTGGTCACCTGCTGTAACCTCAAACAAAGCCTGTTTCACTAAATGTTTGAGGAAAAGCAACTGTTGTCTGACTAATCTACAACAATAAGTTTCCCTAATTGTGTGTAACAATGTTGGCAGCGAAATGAAAACTATGGCCAAATCTATTCAATGAAAAACGTCCACAAATTAACATTCGGTTTGTTTTTTTCTAAATTTGTTTAAACACAAGAACAGAAACTATTATAGTGAAAAAAAGCAAGCCAAGTGAAAGCCAAGAAAAAATAACATAAATGAGATTCAAGCTCACATTTTTCTCAAAATTCCACACTAGATCGCATACTTTCTTTGCAGACATGAAATATACCATGATGTACCTTCCCCAAACTGAAAGCACCGGTTTCAAACCTTAACATCTTGGTTAAACTCCCACTCAAGCAGTTCAGCACTTTCCCTCATCCGTGTTCTTCAACATTTTGTCATTGAAACGGCCAAATCTTTAGATGGTTCTTCTTTTTTTATCTTTAGGTGGGTGGGAATTTTAGGCAAAGTGGATTTGAATCCCCAACCAACTTCTTTACTCAACAGCAACTGGTGTTGACTTTGTTATTTATCCTGAGCACTTTTAGGCCATTCTTAACCAAAGAGTAATGAGTAAAGCCAAAAGGTGCAATATTCTATGCAGGAGGAAGTATAAATAGTAAAATATGTGCTTCCAATTGCTTGTATTATCAGTAATGAGCCAGAATGTCTGAAGTTATTCAGTAGGAAGCTGGATTGTGAGTTCACCTGATTTCTCAGGTGAACAGGCCTGTGTGAAACCACACTGGGCTTTGTAGGCAAGATGGCTCATCGTGATCAGAACTTTAACCTACTGGCAATTCCACAGGCAGAGATTAAGGTAAGTTGAGAGCTAAGAGGGGGATCTCCTTTGGCAGTGGCTTTTGAGTCGAGTCAAGTTGAGAACAACATTTCAGGGCCCTGCTGGCAGGAACCATCTCAGCTGGCTGAGGGTCTCATTCGGGGACAGTAACCTTAGCAATGGTCTCTTGTTTTTCGTACTGTAGGGAGCTATCGTGTTGTGAGTGAAAAAACTGGGTCTCTGCAGATTGTTGTTGTTGGTCTGTAGCAAATGTTTTAGCAGCTTTGCCATTTATTTTCAGAGCTGACGCTGGTTCTGCTGTTCTTCTGACAGGCAGTGGCGCCTTGACCATCCCAGGAGTCACTAATCAATCAATGATGTAACATCTATTCTCCCGGGGTTTTTCAGTTGTATTCATGTTCTGATCTGACTTCTCTCTTCTCTCTTTGGTAAGTAGAATAGTTTCCCTGATGCATTTTAAAAAGTTTGTTAAAATGAAAACTTGAAATGGACTGTTTTCTTTTGCCAAGAAGCTACATAAAACTAAATGAGAGTGAATAATAAAGCTTTGGGGAACCCTCAGTAAGAGCGATATGATCAAATTCGTTCACTCTTTCTCAGCACTTTGGCTTCTCCACTGCTTTCCTGCCATCACTTTCTTTCCCACACTGTCAAAAACCTTCCACACCCATTATGGTGTCACTCCCCCTGGTCCAGAAGCCTTCCCTGCTTCCTTACTCACCAACTCTATCATTCTCTCTTCTGTCCTTGTTAAATCTCCATTTTACTGTCATTCTCCACGTCCCACCTCCTGCCCAAGTTGTTTCTCCAACTGCCCAAAATGGAGCCTCAACATCTAGACTGCCTTCCCCATCATCCATCATGTCCTGTTCCGCCACTCTTGCTGTAGAGCTTAACTCAAATTCTTTGCACATCAGGTTTTAATGAAATACGGTACACGAATGGACCTTTCTGTGTGGAGTGTGCATGTTCTCCCTGTGTCTGCGTGGGCTCTCTCCGGGTTCTCCGGCTTCCTCCCACCATCCACAAACCTGCATGTTAGGTTGATTGGACATTCCAAATAGCCCATAGGAGCGAGTGTGAGTGTGCGTGGTTGTTTGTCTTTGTGTGTCCCTGTGTCGCCCTGCGATGGACTGGTGGACCATCCAGGGTGTACCCCACCTTTCGCCCATTGACTACTGGGATACGCTCCAGTCCCACCACCCGACCCCATTCGGGATTAAGCGGTTCAGAAAATGGATGGATGGAAGGATGCTACACTAATTAATTTTTGCCAACCTTTTCTATTCGACATCTGTCTTTCCTGAAATCTTTCTATTGTTGTTTCATGCAAACACATCTGAAAGAGGGCAGCACTAAAGGCTCATTGGTGTCATTGATGTTTAACTTTGAACAAAGATCACGCTGTACAACAAATTCCGTTATCATTTGATGGAATTTCCTTTCATATTGTTGTTAGACGCACACATGTCTTGGCAGAGTCCTTCCAGAGTTCTCCATACAAATGTTTTTTACTCTGTGGTGAAAGGAGCCAAGGATGCTCTCAGGAACACATGCCTTTCTCTTTGATCAACAGCACGTCAAGTTTTGAAAGGCCTCATTTGCGCGAGACGCATTTACGATAATGACACGGGAGCATCAGACAAAATGCAAGGGATGGTGTCCCACAATTGGAATTTTTTTTCCTTTGATTTGCAGTGCACTGAAATAGTGGAACGTGTTTTGCACAGTGAGACCTCACACAAACAATTATGTTTAGAAATGCTCTCTTTAGAAGCACAGACAGACATGGGGGCACTGCAATGACTGAGCACTTCCCAATTCCCTTTTTCCCCCGAAACCAGGCCCCCTGAAGTCAAAATGACCTCGGAATTAAAAAACGCACAGGTTCTTGCTTCGATTTTACTCGCATTAATCTCAGAACCAGAAACGCAGAACTATAAATGGAGAACTGCATTAAATGTTGCGTCGGAGGGGAATGAGGGCACGTAGGAGAATACCAGGCACTCAGCACCATATGACTCTCTGGCTGAGACAAACCGTGGTTGACCACAGAAGGCCCCGCCTAGCACCAAGACACCAGGAATGCTTCTCTCACTGGCTGTGCAAAATGCTGGCATCAGCTGGCATCAGCTCAGCGCCCGCTCATTAGAGTCTGAGGAGGTGAAGAGGTACATCACCTGCTCGCTCTGGCAACGGCATCAAAGGCGCTGCTCATGGGAAATGGGCATTTTAATGAAGGGGAAGATATCTGAGTTGAAACTGGACAAAAAAAAGGCTGGACAAAAAAAAGGGGGAATAAATCTTGTACAAACACACACATAGACACACAACAGCATACAAACTCTTCGTGGCATTAACAATTACAATCTTACAGTGTTTTTTGTATATCGACTGTAAAACACTTTTTTCTCTTTTGGTTTTTACCTTGTACACCCCCCACCCCCCCTTTTACATTGTATGCCTGAGTTGGGAAAGCACTGAAATTTGGAAATTGTGAGCCATTTGCTGCCATCTAGTGTCTTCAGATAGTCCTGGTTCTTTAAATGTGACAAGACTGTGCAACAGCAAAACACAAAGTACATCAGCAAACCCAGACTTGCATGATTTGGGAGTAAATGGGACTGTACTGAAATCATTACATTCACAACAAATAATATAACCTTTCTGGGATCCTTTTTTTTTGGAAGTACTGAAAAGCAATTCATCACATTTGCACCTCACATCCCTCAGCCCTCTGTGGTGTGTAATGCAGGTGTTGCTGCAGTCAATAAACGTGCACTGCAGTACCTTCATATTCCCCAAGAAGGTGTGGGGAGACTTGGAGCCCACACTGAAAGTGCCTTGTCATTGGATTGCCTGCATTCCTGCGCCTGGCTCCTGCAGGCCTGAGGACTATTTATACAGCCGCAGAAGAGGCCCACCTCACACCCCACTGTGGGGGTACGCATCCTGAGATTTTGACTTACACTAAAATTCAGGAGAAACTGAAACTGAATGAATTAAGAACATTTTTGAAAACTTCTCGAAATAGAACTTCTCAGTAGAAAATCAAACAGGTAAGACATGCTACCTATGTTCAGGTTATGCATCTCTAGTAAACAACCAGCGTGTTGACTGAACTCAAGAGTAGAAACAAGAGAGCCCTGTATTTTTAGTTTGCACATGAACTGGTGAAATAACAAGAGGCAGATGGGAGAGTGTTGTCCTTTTAAATTGAAATGACAGATGACCCAGGTATGAATTACAGTGTCCGTTCTTAAGCTGGCACAGGTACTGGTAAACAAATGTGCTTACACAGAGTGGAAGTTCCCCCATCTGACGACCAGGTGCTCCACTTATCACCACAGGGGTCACTGCTAACTTCTGGCTGCCTCCCGCCCGCCTCACTCGCCTTATCTGTACTTGACAGGCCAGCCGGGCTGTATCCTGACACTTGTTCTGGGCAACATCACTGACAGTATGATATTCAGCTCTCTTCATATAGCGAAATGTCAGGGCATTCTTAAATCACATTCATTCAACACCCTGAGGTCCAGTTATGCTCGGGAAAGTCACGGTAAAAACCCTTGCAGGGCTTTTGTGTTCAAGGCTATACACCGCTACCAAGCTTCATGTTGCTCATCATATCATCAGAATAGCAATAGCATCAGAGCTTGTCTTTGCCACAACAGCTGTCAAGAACTTAAAATATTCAAACATATCATTTCTGAACACAAGATTTTCTTTTAAGTGAGCATGTTAGCAGTAGGACAATTATGTTTTTTAAAAAGATGTACAATCACACTCGTTTCTTTTTGTGGGAAAAAGCCTAGTATTTTATAATAATAACTGACTATATATATTTTTGTTTGTTTGTTTGTTTGTTTGTTTGTTTGTTTGTTTGTGTCTATCAAAAACTCCATAATTATAAGTTATAATATGATCATCAGGAAAAGCCTACCTGACAGTTGGGAAGGGGTTTCCTGTGACTCTGCATTCCAGGCGAATGGGGCTCCCTTCTGCCACTTCCTGACTCTTCAGCTTCTGGAGGAAGTGAGGGGGGGAGAGTGGTCCGGTCGTTGCAGAAGCCCCAGAGTGTTGGTGCATTTCAGAAGCCACATCTTCCACCAGGGTATTTGACTGAGGGCCCATCTCCGGCTGGCTGTTTTGTGGCTCTTCTTGCTGAACAGAAGGCAGCGCGGGAACAGATGCTGAGCCCTGAGGCACGGGCCGCTGGCTTCTCGGAGAACGATAGCCGCTATCAGGAGAGGAGGAATCCTCCTCTGCCTGCTGCTCCAGATGAGCAGAACCTTTGAAGATGGAGGACAACTCCTCGATGAAAGTTGCAGCTCGGCTGCAGAACTCTGTAGCTGAAGCTGACCGATCATTCAGCTCCAGGCCTTCATGAACCAGTCTGGGTTTGTCCTGCTTATACACTGGTTGGATTGGTTTGTGACGGACGACTTTCTCGGCAGGGTTTGGAGCCTCTGTGGGCGAAAGGACAGGTCTGATGGAGGAAACAAGGGCCCCTGCATTGTCATCTGGGAAAGGCGCTTTGGTCTGATGGTGCAGATTTGGGCTTGTGTTGAGGTTTTTAGTGGTTTGCGGGGGTACTGGAAGGGAAGGGACAAATTGGAGAGCCTGCTCCTGTTGAGTAAGACTAGAAGAAGCTGGATCTTCAGATTCACATGCTTCACCAAAGGCCTCCCGGGCCAGGTCCAGACTAAGGTTAATCTCATCTGCACTCAGGAAGGCAGTAAGATCCGCAAAGTCTCCATCTCCAGAATTCAGCCCTGTCACAGAGTCCAGATAAAGGTCCCCATCGGAGGGCGCCTCAGAAAACGCCGCCCTCTCGCCCTCAAAAGTCCCGCCTGCTGCTGGGTCCCTCAGCAGCACAGAGTAGGGGAGTGGCTGGTTCCAACTCCCGTCCTGCATCCTGAAATACACATCACATCTCATAAACAGGCCCAAGCGTTTGCAGAGTGGCCGGTACAGTTTATACAGCAAATGAGACACTCCTCTTTAAAAGAGAGATGACAGAATGGAAGTCAGGTTCAAATAGACTTAACAACCCTGTATCATTTGCTCTCACAGCTGACTGGATGACTCAGGCCAGTGTTGTCTGGACACAGTTGGCGGGTATTAGCATAGGGTTTTACTGAGTCCATAGTGAGCATAGCTGGCATTTCATACTCATCTCGTTTCTGTCGGAAATCTCTTTGCTATGGTTCCCCACACGTTGTAGTCATAAAGTGATATAGGGGTTTATATGACAGAACAGAGATTGAACGTTTTCAAAATATGTCTCATAAAACAATTTTATCATTTCAAGCATCTTTAATCCTTGTGTTGTCTGGAAAATACAGGACTGAGAATGTATGTTTAGAAATACTGCACCTTCCTGTCTGATAAGAGATTCCACCTAATCAACAGTTCTGAGTCCTGTTTTTAGTTGGTGGCAGGTCAGTCCAGCACCCAGACTCTTCTACCATGAAGCCGTGTTGTTGTAATGGATACAGTGCATGGTTTCACATAATCTTGTGAAAGACACCATCTATAATAAAGCAAACTGGGAGAAAACATATCTGATATTCATCTATATGTCTGATTGCTGAATACTTTTTTGAATAAGACACCATTTTTGGATCATGTTCACATATTTTTTGTTATTTGTACAACAACAATAAAGATGAGAGAACAGTTTCTGTCATCTCTAGTGAGGAAGACCCACCATTTTCATGAATAATTTCTAATTGGAATCTGTCTGACTACAGAAGAGTTGTGCACTTTGCTTCATTCTATTTAATTTCATATTTGAGTTTGAGGATCGTGTTCACATATGGCTCCACCTGCTATGGTGGATGGCAGAATTAATTGGATTCACAGAAATAATTTCTACAAAGGGGCTATGAGTCCAAGTAATGTACGAATTATGTTTGTTTTCAATGCACTGAAGCAGAATTTTTATTAGTGTCTATTGAGTGCAAAGTTTCTTCTTATTTTCTGAATCTTTGGCAATATTGACATACATGTTGAAATATTTCAAGTGTTTCACGTAAGTCTGAAATTACTCCAAAAATTATATATGCAGTTTTATTTTTGCAGATTATTAAAACTGAGACACTCTACTTGTCCAATGAGGATGAAGCCACTGACCAGTTACCAATTAAAGTAATTGTTTAAAAGATGTGTTTCCAGCTATTTCTTGTTGCTACCATCGAGTTAAATATGAACCAATATCTTTCATAAAAATATAAATATCCCACTTTCAGTGTCTTCTCTACGTTTCCATTCCTGTTTCTAGAGAGAAAAAATACTGATTACTGCGATTTGGAAATATTTTCGTTTTTGTTTCTTCCTGGAATATATCTCGGCAGCTTTTTGATCTTGTAAAAAGAAATAAAAATACATTAAAGTGGTTAAACTACCTATAGATTGTAAAATGGAGTGGTAAAATACTTAATCAAACGAGTCATCTATAGCTCATGCAAGTTAATAAAATCATCATCAAACCCGCTTTTGATTAATTACATCACATAACAATTCATCTGACATATTTTATTTCACTGCCATTTTGAGAATGAGGTTAATGTGCTTTTCTATATTTACTTTGAACAAATTTGTTGGCATTTATCTCCCTTTCAAAGAGAATATAAACTTATTTTTAATGTAAAAAATTGTATTTAATAGAAATAATTGAATATGGAAAAGTAAAATAACTCCTTCAGTAGAAGGACTCATCAGTAGAGAATCAGTAAAAAATTTAAGCCAGACCCTGTCTCAAAATGCAGGATAAGAATGCTAAAGGGCTACATCAGAGCCACTTAAAGCAGCCTGTCAGAGACATAACAGTTGCTTCATCTTTTGATTTAAACATAAAACATATCAAACACACAGGAGTATTCTATTCTAAGATGTAGTTTAAGAAAAATGTAAGTTGCTTAGGCTTTGATCCCCCAACAAGCGTAATGTGAAATACATAAATAACTATTGGTGTAGATACTGTATATGCATGATGTAGTGTGACACTCAGCGCCTCATGGCGTCCTGAAGACCAGCTGTTGTTATTTTTAATCCCCTGGGCTATGTTTCACAGCAGCCCCGCAGCCCCGCCCACCATGAGCAAAGGAAGAAGGTTGCTACCTTAAAACACACAATCAGGTATAACTGGACACATTTGCACAATTATGCTCTTTTGGTCACTGTGTCGACGATGTCAGTGTCTCTGATGTCTGCTTCTATTTATGATGAGCAGCAACAACTAAATGTAAACGTGGACAAATTTAATCATTTTTATGATTCATTGACAAAATAGATATACAAATACTGTCATAGCATTAATAAACTGCTCATTTAAACATTTCATGCTGCCTCGTTTTGTACAAAGGAGCTTATATATTGCGAGAACTTGTCACATCTGATCAAAATTCTTCACAATTAGGAACTAAAATCCTGAGACCAGTGGATAAAGTTGTTGTTTGTATTTAAGACTTGTTTGTTTTTGACAGATGTCTATAAAGGCTATGGTAACAGCTGTAATGATTCCGTATGATTTTATTAAATGATATTTCTAATAAACCATTTAGAAACCAAACTACACAGTAAAAAATAGCTGAAGGCACAGCCAAACATACCTTTGATTGGGCTGTTTATCCAAATTTGTCCTGTTTTTAGCGGTTCCAGGTTTGTCTTGTTTTCGTGAGAAAGAGACAAAGAGAAGCTTCGTGTCTCTCCCCAGAAGAGCAGCCTTATTGGTCAGACCGTCAGCAGGATCTCTCAGGTTCAGCTTCCAATTGCGTACTGCCTCTGCAGTGGCCTGCTGTCCCATCTGTGCTGGTCCCTTACTGCTCACTGTGTGGGGCTATATTTGGCCCCCGGCTCAGGTTACACAGCCAGACTACTGGCAAGAGGAGAGAGTGTTGAGGTGGTCCTGGTGAACAGAAGGTGGAGGTGACATTTTTATACCGAAGTGGCATTTGTCGATTAAACACAGTGAGACAGACCGTTGTTGTGCGTGCCAAACTGTTAAGTAGTTATTAGCCTGTACAATGGGAATTGTTGGTAGCATTAAGCTAAGCTTTCTTCACTGCCCAGATCTATGTAAAGAAGTTAGTGTCAACATCCTGTTGAGTAAGTCCCTTTGATTGTGTCGCCATATGTCTTGCTAAGACATCTGAAATGACAGGACTGTTGTCATCGTGTCCTTCTGAGTTGGCCCCCATAACCTCTGACCACCCGGTGGTTTACACATTGTTACAATAACTGAAAAAGGTCTTGTAAAAATGTATCAGAAATTGATGTGTTCAAAGTTCAGCTGTTGTTTGGTCATAGGCAGCTGCAAAGGTCTGAATGTGCTACAAGCACCAAATATGCACAACTGGCTGACCAGCCAATAAATGCCTTTTATTCAGAAATGTCAGATTTCTTTTTCAGAAAGGTTGCTCAGAGTAAAACAGTGGCCTGAACAGAAGCGGATAGATGATAGCCATGCAGCCTCACTTAGTCTATTTTGAGGCCACTATCACATTTTGTGCTCTCTGAGCTATTCTGGTTCTTCTTCAATCTACTGATAACAGTTAAGTGCTAGTGAGTAGTCTGTTAGGAATTTTAACTGTTATAACTATGTATACACAGACACACAAATCAAGGAGTGAACAACTCAAAATATGACTCTTCACCCAACAGCAATCGGCACTGTGTAAGATGTTCTTTATATCCAACTACATCATTCGATTACTTCAACAAATTAAACAGAGATATCTTTTTAGGATTTAAGATTAGCCTTAGAATATTTCAGGCCGACTTTTACGGCTCTTGAGAGAACACAGTTCTATGTATAATATGTTAATGCCACGATCCAGGATCATGGACAGGATGCAGAAATCGCTTTGCACAAGTCTTTATTGATCAGTTCTCCACAGATACCTAAATCAACAGAATATGAAAAGTTATTGTTCAAGAAAAGGCACTCTTAAGCAAGAGGCAACAAGGCTATGAAATTATTTACAACACACACAAAAAAAACACTCCAAAAAGGTGGGGAAGGTCTAAACTATTAAACTTTACTGAAATGAAAATCACTCCTTTAATGGAGGTAAAACAAGACTATGAAAAATATTTACGAACAAAAGATGATTTTGATAGGAGGTATATAAACTATGAAAAATTTGACAAAATAAAAATCACTCCAGAAAAGGGAGTAAGCACGAAGCTAAGAAACAATACAAGAGAAAATAATTCCACGAGAGGAAAACCAAAATATTATGAAAATTCGCAAGGACTACGAAACTTATAAAAAGTAAAACACTCTCTTGGAGAAAACAAAAATCAAGACAAGAGTGTGACTTACTAAACGAGACCAAGAAACACCAGAAGTGAACTGACATGCAAAAACACCCTGGCACCAGACAAGGAGCGACGCAGACTGTAAGTACACAAGAGGGGAAACGAGGAACAGGTGGACACAATTAAGAATTAGGGAGAAAAGTCTGTTTGCACAAGAGGAAGAGCAAGTGACCAGAAGCAAGAGAGTTACAATTACAAAATAAAACAGGAAATGAGGAGACCACACCGTGACAAAACAACAACAAGAACCCCCAAGCGTGACAGTTATTGGCTTATACAATAACTTTTTTTTATAATTGAGTGTGTATCAAAACGACACAATCATGAGGATGTCTAAATTCAATAACTTTACATGCTCTTTTGGACCTGAAAGAAATCATTATCCTCCTCAATCAAAAGGTTTAATTTTGTCTTGCGTCTGTGTCAAATATTCATGTATGCAATTATCATCTTTTAAGGTTATATAGAAATATTCATGTTTAAACAAACTTTACTTTCCATATCGTGTCTCAACTTGAATTTAGCTACGTTCTCGTCATGATAGAAGAATCAACTTTACGCATCACACTCATGCAACATTTAAAGTGCTGTAGACACCAGCTAGCATATCAGCCACATAATGGCCAATTACCAATTACCAAAAGGTTGATACACGAAAACTACCTCAAATTGCTAAACACAAAGCAAACCTATTTTGAAAAAAAAATGCATTTCGTGTCGACACTTACGAATTGCGTTTTTATTGGGTCTCTCTTTTCTATTTTATTTTGTCTCTTCTCGTCTTCCGTTGCTCTGCGACGATTGGTTGAGGAAAGCAATATGGCGATGTGCGCGCAGTTGTAAAAATAACACGCAAAAAACATATATTTAGAACGTGGTGATCCGGCTGGGGTTTTAATGTGTTGTATCTGATCACTTGGCATGGTTAATGTGTTAGTACACAGGAAGAAAATAGCCATGGAGTTGTTTTTACACTAGATAAGCCGCCTTGCTAACTGAAGCGCTAGCATAATATCTTGACAGAAGATTTTCATCTCATCTGACAGCTCTGCAGAGTTGTTCTGCTGCCAGTGAGCACTAACGCCGTAGTATTGAATTGTCTTTAGGTGAGTGGCATTTGTATTATCGTTTAGGAGACTTTAATATATATATTATTATTGACAGTGCAGCCATCCAGTCTTAGCAATCTGTGGAGTGTTCACAATGAAATTAGACGTCTCTAATTTTCATTTTGTACCGCCTGTTTGTTGACTGTTATGTTATGGAAATTATTTAAGTGTCCTGGTGTGTAACTTCTTTACAATTTAGACACTTGGACTTAAATAGAACCCCTGCTTTCAAGTAAAAACAACAAAAGAATGAATGGGATCAAAATTGACTACACAGTAGATTTGCATTAGATGAATGGGGGAAAACTGTCCGGTAATCTCCTGAAAACTTTAGGATGAAATCATCCCTGAACAGTCTACGAAATGCGGTGCTAATCTTTTCCCCATCTTTTAGCTCACAACATGCCTGCCTTCCGGCAAGTGGGAGAGAAGCAACTTCCAAACCCTGTTCTTTGTATGGCATGGTCACCAAAGAGGGATCTGATTGCTTTGGCAAACACAACTGGAGAGGTGACACTGAAATCTTAAAGTTCCCTCAACAACATGTTTCACTTCTTGTCTGTGTGTGTATTTGTGTAATCTTGAAATTTTTAAAATAATTTTTCTAAAGTTGCTGCTACACCGCTTGGCTAGCTTCCAGCGTGTCTGGAGCTTACCACCCAGTGAATACACGGGGAAAGAGATCACTGCACTTGCCTGGAGACCAGATGGCAAAAGCAAGTTATTTTAGTTTTTTTGTGAACGTTAATAGTTTTCAGTAATTTCACTGTTGACATAGCTTTTTTTCTTTTTAAAATCACGTGATCTTCATACTTTGATCTGCTTTACGCACCTCAGTATTGGCCTTCAGTCTTGGAGACACCAAGCAGGTGGTCCTTTGTGGTGTTGAGAAAGCTGAGATCCTTCATGTGTTCCCAATGCAAAGCCCTGTAACTTGCATGCACTGGATGGAGGTCATGGAGGAGAGCAGGTATGCATGAAACAAAAATCAGATGGTTTCATGTCATTAACTTTTATTCATGAAATGGTGTATGTTTCAGTGCCCTCAGCTCCTTTTACAACTCAGAGGACGAATCAAAACTTTTTCTTCCTAAATTGCCAACCCTACCCAAGAGGTAATTTTACTGATTGTAAATCATTTTATAAGAAAAAGGGTTTTGGTTAAATTACATTTCTCCCAACTTCTATTCCTCAGCTACAGCACAACCTCAAAGATATTCAGGTGGGAAAGTGTTTTTTATGACTAAGTCATTAGTTCTAATAAGTTATTTTTCTTAAAAGCTGAAGAATAATGATTGTTTCTGTCTCTGTAACAGTGAAGAAAAGTCTGATGAGATACTTAATCTCCTGGGAGAAGTCAGGTAAATGATGCTAGCCAAAGAAATACATGGAGTTTTTTTAAATTGTTTTTATATCATAGTTTTTAAATAGTATGGAATATGATATTTCACCAACCTGTGCTGTTTCCATTCAGGCTGAACATACTCGTTCTTGGAGGAGATGCCGGGTTTGTGGAGCTTTACGCGTACGGAATGTACAAGATTGCGTCTCTAAGCGGGGTACAGCTATTTTGTTCATTCATAAGAGTTGTCTCTGAAGTCCCAAAGATATTCAGGGGAGTTGTTTAATGTTAAGGGAGAGACAAAAATCAACTGTTATGGATTTAATAATAGGAGATAGTAATTTTGAGCAATTGTGATGCAACTGTGTTACTACGATTGAATGACATTCACAGGTTTCGGGGACCTGTCGCAGTCTGAGTCTGTCCAGTGATCTCAAGTCTTTGTCAGTCATCACAGAAGTGAGGTCAGCTGACAACAACCCAGAGATCTGCTACGTTCAGGTGAGACGGATGACCTCATTTTCTGCTCTCACTTGCATTTTTTCCCTTTTTTTTTTTTTTTTAACCGTCACCTCTGTCCTCCAGCTGGACACGAGGCTGTTGTCAGATTGTCTGCCTGAGGTCACCAGGATGGCACGCAAGTTCACCCACATCTCCACGCTGCTCCAGTACCTGCACCTCTCACTGACCTGTATGTGTGAGGCGTGGGACGACATCCTCATGCAGATGGATCTGCGCCTCACTAAGTTTGTTCAGGTTTGTTGTTTAAAAGACGTTCTCCCTGGAAGGAAAGGCAACAGCACGTCGTCACAAAGGCAGATCAAAGAAAGCATTCCAGCTCCTATAAATGTTGACAACGCAGTTGATAACAAATTGTGCAACTTACATGGTGATAGGGGGAAAAAGCCTCTCACAAAAGAGACAAATTGTGTGAAAGCTACTTCTTCCTGAATTTCTTATGTTCTTGGTTTGAATTCGGCCATTCTGATTTATTTCCCGCATAGAAGCAACAGAAATTGAAGGGCACCTTAAAAAGGAAGCAAAATCTTAAAAAAGAGCACAGCAGCTCAGAATGATGCTTTGTGTACATAATAACCCAAAGAAAGTCAGCTTGTATTTTATGTGTTGTCTTTGCAGGAAAAGAATACAAGCACCCAAGTTCAAGATGAGTTTTTGGAGCTTCTGCTATGGGGACAGTCTAGGTAATGGTGCAAAGCACTATTTGTGTCTACTATTTCCTGTAGGTGATAGCATTAAACTTCCTATTAAGGATTTGGTTTGGTGCTGTTTTATGTTAGACTGTGCAAGACTTCTTATTTTCTGTCCTGTTCTCCCTGTTTTCAGCCCTGAACTCCAGGCTCTTCTCATGAACCAACTGACTGTCAAGGTGGGCCGTAGAGGAGTTCCAAAAATAATTTTCTAGAGGTGCGAAACAGCATAGAAGAGAATTACCTTTTGTTTTGTGCCGCATTTACTTCCTAGGGCCTCAAAAAGCTTGGCCAATCCATCGAGTCCTCTTACTCCAGCATCCAGAAGCTAGTGATCAGCCACCTGCAGAGGTACTGTCTTTCCCTCTCTCGCTTGTTTTCCGCTCCAGCCGGAATTTTTCCTCCCTCTAAAAGCTCCCGCTCGGCTCTCCTCTGCTTCCCAAAGCGGCTCCGAGGCTCTGCTGTATCACCTCAGCGAGGTCAGAGGAATGTCCTTATGGAAGCAGAAGTTCCAGCCCCTCGGTTTGGATTCAGCTGCTATTGAAGGTACCAATCCAAATCTAAGACTTTAATCCATCTGTTGTGATTAGTAAACACAGATTTGTTTTTCTGTGTATTTGCAGGTGCTATCACCGCCGTGGGCTCCTTTTCCCTCAAAGCCAACGAACTCCTGCAGTAAGTTTGCCACTCTAGACTTAAATCATTTCTACACGCCTTTGCTTTCCCCCAGTGTCACTCTGCATATTTTTCCGTTTTAGGGTGATCGACAAGAGCATGAAAAACTTCAAGGCCTTTTTTCGGTGGCTGTATGTAGGTAAGAATTAGTTTGTCAAACGTCACTCGTGAATCCTTTGCCATCAGAAGGAGAACATCGCATGAAATGGGACACGCAGCAATTAATACATAATGTTTTATTTCTATGCTTGTGTTAATTTCCTCACAGCAATGTTAAGAATGTGTGAGGAGCACGTGCCGCCGGAGCTTAACAAGGTGAGTTTACTCAAAAATAGATCAGAGACTTGTGTTCTTATTTCTGAAAATGTAATGCTTAAATCATGTTGAATCCCTCAGATGACTCAGAAGGACATTGCCTTTGTTGCTGACTTTTTGTCTGAACAGTTTAGTGAGGTAAGAAATATTATTTTGATATGAAAAATAATTCAATTCACTGGCACGTTCTCTAAATTTTTGGATTTACGGTTCGATAGAACGAGGAACTTTTCGATCGTAAAGGGAAGTACTTCAATGTTGAGCGAGTTGGTCAGGTAAGCAGTTTCCACCAATTTACTTTTTAAGGCTTTGGATAAAAATCACTGTCAATTCTTGACGGCTTGTTTTTCATCTGGGCATTTCCAGTACCTTAAAGATGAGGAAGAGGACCTTGTGTCTCCACCAAGCACAAAGGGCAACCAGTGGCTGAAGTTTTTGCAGGAGAGCACGCACCTGAAAGGTCCAATTACCTATGTAACTTAACCCTAACACATTTTGTGGTTTGGAAGTCATGTCACGAGTAATTGAATGTGCCATTGGCTTCTTTAGAGAGCCCTTTGCTGTTTCCATCGTATCCCCAAAAGTCTCTTCACTTTGTCAAGAGGATGATGGAGAACGTGATTGAGCACTGCCTACAGAAACCTGCTGTGAGTTTTGTGTGCTGTTATTTTTTAACATCTTCACAATTAATCTTTGTCGAACAAACGTGAGATGTTTTGGCATCCAGTGTCTAGTCCCATTAGTTTTGTCAGACTCAATTATGTCTATTTGTTTGCAGGAAGTGATTGGGAAGTCTGTAAAGCAGGCTGTGTTTTTGCCCCTCTACATTGTGCCAGAGAGGTATAATCTAATTCTTCAGGCTAAGTTAATTCTGTTTTAATATGATTCCGTTTGAATTCAGCGCTATTAATGAGATTTTTATTTGACTTTTTCTTTGGATCTCTAGCTCAGAAAACACTCCACGCCTGTTTGAACTTCCTTCTTTGTACGTAAGACGCAAACACCGTGGGGTTTTGTATCTCTGACAGCGGGATGATGGTTTTAATGATTCCTCGCGATCGCTCCACAGGTGGAATGACAAAAAGGCCAAAATGCACTGCGTAGTTTTCTGCATGCCAGAGATCTCACCAAGCAAGGTCTACATACTGCGCAAGGGAACAGACCCGAACCGGTTAGTTTCTATGACGGTGTGAGCATCTATGATTTGTTTGTTCCACAGATTTCCTTGCTACACACAACAAAACTTAAATTTTCTCCTACAGACATATCCCAAATAGTGTTATGTCGATTGACCTCAGCCATCACCTTGACAACGCCGAGGACGACAATGCTGCAGCTCAGTGGGTGCTGCTTACTTAGTTATTCAACGCCTCTGCTGCTTAAGAGCTCCCTTTGGCTCTAATTTGCCGCTCTTGTTTGTTTCAGGTCTCATTGTGTTTACAGCTGCCTGGATGCTCGCTTCTATGACGATGAGATGCTAACGGTGGTTTTGCAAAGCTCGGAGGAGCACAACAGCAGGCGTGTCCTGGCTCAGCTTCCTTTTACCTCCAGCCTGAGCTGTGAGAGTGAATTCAGCTGGGAGCCCAACCTCAGGTGTGGCTTTAGAACTCTTATTGTCACTAAAAATGTCTCAGACATCTGAAACCTGGCAATAAATGTGGCTTTAACCCTAAGCCATTAAGAAATAGAAATGTCTTTCATATTTTTGCTAAAAACATCAAGGAAAATTAAAATAGCAGTTTTTTTATGTTTTCCTTGGATTTACGAAAAATAGTAACTGAAATACAGCTCTCTAGACAGGAGATGCCACAGAAATACGCGGCACAGAAATAAAATTCAGAAGTTCTAATAAGCATGCCATGAGCCCTTTAGGTCTTCACATGGAAGCCAATTTGGATTTTTTGAAAATCAGTGCACAAGGTTGAATATATTGAATACAGCGTTTTGAGTGTTATTTGTGTTATCAGACTGGACCAGCAGAACAGTTCCATCCCCTGTCAGGGTCTGGTGTTGGGGAATCAGTGGCGGGAGCTGGAAAACATGAAGGCTCAGTTTGTGGCTGTCAATGGAATCCGCAAAGTGGCCTGTGTGGTACGTTCAATGCACTAGATGTCCTGAAGTCTTCTGATCCCAATTCCAAAGATGCTATGATGCTTTTGAGAATGCAGGGTTTCCAATAGAAATTTTAAGCTTTTGATTTTTTGACAACAGATTTCTGATTTTTTTTTTAAAACATAACTTCTAGGTCATGTTGTTCCATGCTCAGAAAAGATTAAATGAAAAGTGAACTGTGGTCCTAGACGATGATTTCTGGAAGTGTTCCTAGACCTATTTAGAGATTTTCCATGACAGATCCATGATTTTTTTTTGGTAGTGTTGTCTGAGGGCCTAAATAATAATATCTAGTAATGGATTTTGGTTTGGTTCCTCATGCATGGAAATTCCCATGATTCCCAGAACCATCTATTGATACTTACAACAGCACTTGACTAATTAACCAGATCATCACCAATTTGAGGCTAAGGATATAACTCGTAAATCGCCCCACAATTTCTAGACTGTTTAGCGATTTAAAAAAAATTAATAAATAATTTCCTCCTGAGAGACGCTACCTTTCTAAAGTGCTTATGCACCCAATTGGGTTTATGCACCCAATTTACAAACTTGTTGCCAATGAGTTACAATGAATGTAAAGTGTTCATTCAGTTGTTTCTTTGTAAAGAAATACTAACCAATGATATTTCTAATAAAGTAGTCTTATGTCATCCCACTCTTCTCTATATTATTCATTATCTTTGTCTGGGCATTTTTGGTTCAGCAGTTTAGGGCAGAATGAGTTTCACTGCACCGTTCATTGATTTGTTTTAGTAATCACTGAAGTAAGATCATCCCTCTTGTGACTTTTCTGCCTGTTAGTCACATTTTGCGCTGTTACTAAACATTTCTGTTTTTTGTGTTAACATTTTCTGGCAGCTGAGTGGCAATCTCAGGCACATACGTGTTTTCGAGATGGACGTGGAAGATGAAGAAGACGAGGGAGCTGATTCCCAAAACACCACCATCGAACAGGACGGGTTGGAAACTACCATGACCAGCCTGGGGCCGGGGGATGAGAGCATAGACACTGAGGGTGAACTTGGAGAGCAGGAAGTGTTTAAAAAAACTGCGGAGAACCTTCACTCAGAAGAAGCTTTGGAACTCCCATGAGACTGACTTGGCTCTATCTTTTGTATCTTTTTTTTGGGGGGGGGGGGGGGGGGGGATTAGCTTTCAAATTGAACTAAACTGTTAAAAAAATAAAAGTTTTTTTCTTGATTTTTCAGTCCTTTGTCATTGTTTCAATCAAGCGACTTAACGTTTCCGCTAACATGTTTGATATCTAATTAACACACGACCAGGAGATTTCTGTGAGAGTACCGAAGCCTTATTTGTATCGGTTACGGACGTCGAAACGCGCGTGCACGCGAAAATAGGTGTTGGTTACGTGGTCGTTCGCGATATCGAACGTGGTGACGTATGTGGTCCGCCGCCTGTTGGTCTTTCACAGTTGGTGACGAGTATTATGAAAATGGCCTCGACCCTACCCGTAAGCGCGAATATCCAGAGAAGATGACGACGCTGAGCTTTTTAAGTCAGTTGAACACCAAAGTGTCTTCCTTCAATACGTAGGTAGCGGCCACGGTAGCAAGAAAGAAACGGACCCGGTCACGAAAAGTAGAAGAAACGCCCCAGACCACAGCATATTTTCGTTGGTCTGAGGATCCACCATGGAGGATATCAACTCTAATATCAACGCAGACTTGGAGGTGCGGAAGCTCCAGGACTTGGTGAAAAAACTCGAGCAGCAAAACGAACAGCTGAGGAGCCGCTCTACGATGTTGTCCTCGTCGGGAACAATGTCAGGGAACCACAGACCTCTCAGCGCCGGATACGAGTCGTCGTCCCTGTCAGTGGGGATGGCAGCCGGTCTGGCCGGCTTCCCTGGGGTGGGGTTCGTCGGTACGGGAGGCTACGGTGGGCTGCTGGAGAACAACCGCTGTTTGAACCCCAGGCTGTCTTACGACGGCATTAGTTTTAGGAGGGCGTACGAATTTGAAGGGGCATCCGCCGCCACCTCGGTGCCGAGTATGAACTCACTTTACTCGGACAACACCGGGGGCTTTCTGGCGGAGGGGGAGACCTCAGTCCTCGATGAAGTGGACATCTTGGACCTTGAAGACATGGATTGTCTAAACGAAGACGAGGACAGCTGGTGAGTGACAGGAGTGTTTCGGGAGGGAACTTGTCGATACGGGGGCAGCTTTTATTGCCTGCGCGCAGTTGCTCTTCACGTTAGCCGCCACGGCCAAACGCCTGGCACAAACAATAGTCCGAGGTCTGAAGTCAGCCCCAGAGACGGAGCCTCTTTGGGGATCCATGCCTAAAGATGCCGGGGCCACCTTGGCGACTGCTTGACCCGCCTGCTTTGTCCCGCTGCCATCGTCACAACACTCTCAGTTGTTTCCCTACCTTGCCTACAGTTGTTGCACTTGTTTCACAGACAGTGTCAGGCCTCAGGGCCACAAGCCCTCCCAGCTGTCAGGAGTCAGGACCCCGAGGTCCCGCATTACGGGCCGTTTTGGGCTTTTAAACGCGGCTCGTACTGGCAGCGCCGGGCAGTAGATCGGTGTGTGCTGTGAGATTCAGGTTGTTTTCCTGCCCGGTTGTCATGTGGGAGAAGTAGCCATGGTTATATGCATCCTCTGAATTCCTTTTTGGCTAAGCAACTGGCACCCAGCTACAAGTGCTCCGTATTGAGCAGCACTGAGAAATGAGGGTGAAATAAGGCCAGTCATCTAACGTCGGAATAAAAGCGACGAAGGCGTAATAAAGCTGATCACGAGGATTGCAGGGATTGCTAACAGTGGCTATAAATATAATGTAATCGGGTCATATCTGAATGTCTTACAGATAAGGATTACCATCATCTTACCATTACATGTCCATCTTGTTATTGGAATTAAACTTACAAACGACATGTCCATACTTAAAAATAGCCTGGAGTGTTTTCTGTTGTTTGTTTACTTTACAGTGACATGTTTAAAAAGTAATCTCAAATCTTGATCTCATGTTAAAGTAGGTTAGACATAGAAATGGACAAATGACGGCCCTTACTTACATTATGGCTGTTTGACTTGCAAGGGTTAGGGTTGATTTAATTGGTTTCTGCTGTTGTAATGACACAGTAACAGACATAAAGAGAAAAGCTCCTCATGCAGTTTACTGACAGATGCTAAAGCTGCAACAATGAGTGACGTATCATCTGTGCCGGGGTTGTAAATGTGCTGAGTGGCCCTGTAAATAACGGGACAGACACTAACTCTTACAGACTGCATCTGACCCACAGGACTGAAGAGACCACAGGCAGATATGTTAGTAATCAGTATGCCCACTCTTGAATGCAAGCATCTTATTGTTCACTGTGATTATTTTGGCTTTCAAATCATTCAAATCAGCAGCACAAACCTACGTTTGGAGACTGCTTGCAGCTCTAGCTACTTACAGATATTGCTCACTCATGCTCAAGCAAGCCAGTCTCATTACGCCCAGCCTGTTTTGTCTGCCCTCTGCATCAGATGGATATCTGGGATTACCCCGTAGTGCCCAGCTCTTGCCAGCTCCTGTCACAGACTCCTGTAATCCCATGAATTAGCATCAGAGTGGATTTAAAAGCTGCAGCGATCTGAATACGGTGCAGAGACTTGACTGCATGTGCACGATACGTTTGCTTTCTCCAATGGTGGTGCGGGATGAGAAAATGTTTACTATACACTGTGTGACATGCAAGCGGCTGTGTTGTAAACAATGAAAATGTGTAGTCCTACTTTCAGGCTTGTATTTCCCTGCACCAGCTTTAGTTTCCCTCTAATGTTTCTGCTTTCATGATGAAAGGCTTCCTCTACGGCTGCAACAGTGCTGACAGCTGCTGAGTCAGATTCCTCCTCTAAGTGGAAACTCCTCCTTTCTTTCCCTCTCTGAACCATAAGCACACATTTGCGTTACTTTTAAACTAATTGTATTGGCCTCAAAATTGGCATTTTGAAATTTGGCAGTCTAAATGAGGGAAGCTTTAATAGAGTATTCTGGACGGTTCTTAATTTTCTACATACCTTTTTGCAAATGTTATGTTCTTAAACGGTTTTAAAGACACATTTAAGCCGCATGATTTCAGATAGATTTTTATTCAATTGTTCAACACTAAAATCATATGTTATGTGTATTGTGAAGCCAGTTCCAAATATGGAGATGTTTTAAGTCAGTGTTTTCTTTTCACAGGTTATATGAGGCTAAACTTAACAGCCCCCTGCAAAAAGCCTTGAGCCCAATCGTGTGGTGCCGTCAGGCTTTGGATAACCCCAGCCCTGAGATCGAATCAGCTAAGCGTTCCCTCATCCACAGACTGGACCTCACAATGTCAGGTAATCCACAAGATTTTGATGTGTCTGGTTTAGCAGCGATCAAAGATTAAAACATTTTTTATTTTATTTTGCCATGTCATACGTCAGCTTCCAATCCACTGTTTACTGTTTTATCTGCAGTTTACATCAATATTCCTTTTAGAAAAGTTGGTACATGGCATTTTGATTTGACTTTACTGAAAGTGTCTAAGTTGATTAAATGTATGGGAAGACAAAACGGTTAGAGAAGCAAACCTGCGCATGTTACTGGTGTATCCCATATTTTGCATGAAAGCAACAGGAGCCTTGGTGACCTCATGGTGAGTAAGGCACACTGGGGGCCGTGACTGTGGGGGCCCTTAGCCTGATGTGGCCTTTCCTGACAGCTCCTGTTTCACACACTGGATGGGAACCTGCGGGAAATGTGTCGCAATAACAGTGATGTGAATTGCAAATGCAGACATGGGAAAGGGGCTTTAATGGTAAACTGAATTCAGCCTAGGTGTGTCCACATTACCTTTCTTGCTTTTTGTTTGTGCGGCTGTTGTTCTTGAGTCTGTAGTTTTTGACTCTTCCTAATTATAGTCGGTCTTTCTGGGAGGACAGGCCTCAAATCCTTGGAGCTAAACTGAGAGGGGTTATTTCCATTGGTGGTATGCCCATGTGACAGTTAGATCATGTTGAGCAATAGGCCACCGAAGGTTATTCACTGGGATATATGGGACTTTCTACTCTGTTGTGTAAGAATCTACCCTGCACCTGGACACCCGCATGCGTCCTCATCCAGACAAAGTGCCATTTATCTTGAAGTAGCTCCTGAACTAATTACCATGTGGCTTTTTCTTTTGTGGCTTCTTTTTTCTCTCTCTTTTGCGCATGTAAGATGTAAATTGTGGAATCTGGTATGTTGAGAACAGTTTAGTGTGACTTTGAAACTTTTGGTGCTGTCCATCTTTCACAGTAACGGAACAATCTGACAGTGCTTTATTTAAAGCCGCTGTCATGGGCTGGCCTATGCCAGCATCAGAGAGCAAAGCACAGCATGCATCAGCATTCTCCAACAAATTTGCCACTTGCCACTCAAGTCTGCACAAGTGGCTGGAGGGGAATATTGTCCTAGTTTAGCTTGATTATGACATTTCCCCTCCTGTTGCAGAAAGTTGTCCCCCCCCCCCCCCCCCCCCCGCTATCTTTTCCTCATTCCTCAATCGGCCCCAATAGAAAGAGAAAGCACTGCTAAAATCGTTTGCCTAACACATCTTAAACATTATGTTGTTGGAGGATTTGTGAGAGTCTCAGCAGACACACCCATGTGCCTCCCGGCTCCTTCACACCCTCTCTCTAACAGGAACATGGAAACCATGTTGCCAAGGTGTTGGTTGGGTTTGCGCCTGCAGCCTGAAACAAAGATGCCTCTCGCTTTAAAGGCGAGCTCACGCTCTCTGGGAGAGGAATGACCGAGCCTCTTGTAAGGTCACACCCTGTTCAAATCAAAGCCCCAGATGATGTGTCTCCGTTATGTAACAGAGCAACAAGGAGGAAACACTTGGGAGAAAGTGAGAAAGAATGCCCGAGCCGGTTTTGAAAGTCAAAACACAAAGTCAGACGACCCAGACAAACTCTGAAGCGATTTTCTTACCAGAACAGTTAAAGACTTTTCTTTCTATTTTTTTTTTATTTGCTTCGACAGCTGTGATGCAGTGTAGAGGTCCCAGCTGCAGCCACATAGCTGACCTGTCTTGTTTTTTTTTCTCCTCTGCTCACAGTGGTTCTGACTTTTCGCAGACCTCTGAGCCTGAACACCCAGTTCAGTTCCTTCTTGCATGTCTATGCCAGTTTTATCCCCTCTCTGCTTTGTGGTATTCATCTTCCTCCACACAAGCCTGACTGTTTGTTCTACTCTTGTGATGTGCTTGCAGCTTTTTGCAGTTGCTTTTACTCCTTCTTTATTTTCCTATCAGGCAGACTTCAGTGGCAAGCTTTGTCCTCTGTTTGCTCCTCGAACATTTAAGCCCCCCCTTTTTGCCTTAAGCGGGTTGAAATCTGTTGGCTCGTTTACATTTTTTTTCCTTTCGCTTGTGGGGGGAAAAAAACAAAACTTACCCTCAAATTTCTGCAGCTGAAAGGCAAAATGTGGAAAATCCTCCAGTTGGACTTCGTGTAGCAGTAAATCAGAGTGAAATCAATCACAGCATGTAGCAGCTGAGCTTCTTATCCCTTTCTTTTGACCTCCAGTTTCAGGTCATGCAAGTTTGAGGGCGCACTATTTTTTGCTGGTCCCAGTGCTGCAGATCCCTTTAAATTAGACTGATCTGCGTCTCTGTGTATTGAGCTACTTGGGTCACTGTGGCGGTGGACGTTATCTAATAACGCTGCCAAAAGCACTCACACTGAGCCCCCTGGCTGGGTCCACACTGGCTGCAGCCCCTCTTGTGATTTGTAGCACAGTCATGTTTTCAATGTAAGCGCTGACATTTCCAGCTGCTCTATTCTTTCTCTCAATTGTCTCTGATAATCTCACCATCTGCACTTTTTTTTTTTTTTGATTTTCCTGCTGATTGAATGGGTGCGGAATTACAGACCTACAGAGCTGTTGACATTCCTTAGTAGCTGATCCGTGCAGATGGTAGTGGAGAGGACGTGGTGGTATTTTCTAAATAATGCAGGAAGACAGAGTGTAGAGCTTGAAATGGAGAGAGACGGTAAAAGGAAATATAAGAGAAAGGAGGAAGATCTTAAAGCTGCTCTCCATTCGCCACTGAGCTGTGTAAACACATCCAGTTAGACAAGGAGAGAAACAAGAGCGAAGGGAAAATGAGCACTCTCCCTGACACTCGGTATCCAGACCTCCACACATTTCCTAGTGGCCAGCAGCTCGAGTCTGATCTCATGATTGAGACTGTGGTGCGCTAGACTGGAGTCTTTTGGACTGCTGCTTTTGCAGGGTCTCACAGAGAATGGCTTTGTGCCGTGTTCCGCGGCTGAATGGAACGTATTGTTTGGAGGTTTTCTCAGCTAATCATGCAGGAACTTCATCAGGGCCCAGCATACGGTGGAAGAGACTCCACCAGACTGACAGCACAGTGCAGAGCTTTCATAAAGGTGCTGGATCTGACCCGGCCTGAACACTGCTGCCGTTCGCAGTCAAACTGGGCCTGTCAGGGCCGCTGAGTGGACGCATTGTGATGCCACCCTGAACAAGCACAACATTGTTACTCTGAGGCTCCCTTTCCTAGTCATTCAGGTTGAATTCTAACTCACTAATTACCTTAAATATTAAATTATTAAATTACCTTAAATACTGTGTGCAGTATATGAATAAACATGCACATATACACAGACTACAAAAAATGAATAACTGGAGAAATTAGGTGGCATTCAGTAAAGTTTTTAGAATTTTTTACAAAATTAGATTTGGAAAATACGAGAAAGGATTTGCAAAGATATCTGTGGTTCTATTTATATGATATGATCTATATAACATATTTGACATCTTTGATATTTGAACACTTGCTGTCAGCACACCAAACTGGACAGCAAAGACTGTGCACTCTTTTGATGCAAAATAAATAAACTTGTGATGTTTCCTTGCTTTTGTCCTGTAATATACACTTGTATGCTTTGTTCTGGACTGTGCAGCCAACAAGCGCAGGAGCTTCTATGGAAGCCCCTATGTCCAGCAAGGCTACGGGAGCCCGTATAGCACAAATGCGGCCAACAGTCCGTACAGCAGTGGCTTCAACTCCCCCTCCTCCACCCCCAGCAGAGTGCCCATTGTCCGACAGCAGCTCATGCCCAGTAACGCAGGTAGGCAACCCTCCCATGTTTACTGTCTGGTACAAGTTTGGATCTGAGATCAAAGCGCTCACAGCTGATTTTCCCACCAGTTCACCAACGAAATTCAGCCGCAGAGAGAAATCCTCCTGCCATAAGCCCACAGTCGTCAGTGGACAGTGAGCTGAGCACATCAGAGATGGACGAGGACTCGGTGGGCTCCTCGACCACCTACAAGCTCAACGACGTCACTGACGTCCAGATTCTGGCGCGCATGCAGGAAGAGAGTATGACCCGTTTATTCCTTTCAGCTGCAGCAGTGTTCTAAGGTTTTTCTGTTACCAAAGCTGCTTTTTTGTCTGGTTTTCTTTCCACCGTTAATGTCTGTTGATAGGTTTAAGGCAGGACTACGCCGCCACCGCGTCCCGTCGGAGTTCGGGCTCCTCCTGCCACTCACTGCGGCGCAGCACCTTTAGTGACCAGGAGTTGGACGCGCACAGCCTGGAGGACGAGGAGGAGGCGGTGCACCTGGCCTTCCCTCTGCCTTCCAACCGCTTCAGCCCCTCCCCTCGACACTCCCCGCGCGCTTCCCCCCGCAATTCTCCCCGCTCGCGATCCCCGGCCCGCTCCATGGACTACAATCACAGCCGCGGCTCGCCGCAGCCCATCATCAGCCGCCTGCAGCAGCCGCGCCACTCGCTGCAGGGCCACGGCCACGACCTGCAGACCAGCGTGGTGAAGAACGAAGGTAACCAGGGGGAGAGCACCGAGGAGGCCGCGCCAGACCTTGCTCCGCCCCGTCAAGCGGCGCCCGCTCACTCCCTCTTCTTCTGCTGCTGTTGTAGAAAAGTTGCGCCGTAGCCTTCCCAACCTCACCCGCTCCTCGACGGCGGCGGCGGCTCAGACCCCAGAGCCCGTGAAGAACAGCCGCAGCTGCGAGTCCAACCTGCAGGTGCCCAACGGCGGCTCCCCTCGCCATCAGAACCAGTCTGCAAGTGAGTATCGTCACCGAGGGGCGATCCAGCTGAAAAACACAAAAACCCTCCAATTAGACAAGAATCGTTCTAGCTTTGAATGAACGTCGCTTTTTTTTTTTCTTTCTTTTTTTTTTTTTGCCTGACAACTTTACTCAACATGCCTTTCGTTCTCCAAGCACAAGAACATGACAGGCTGTGTAGTCCCATGTGTGAGTGGGACTTCCTCTCTCTGGCTGCACCTACTCTGTGACAACTGGGCTGCTTTGTAGTGACACGGCTTTGGTATTTGGGTATCCCCTTAGTCTTTGATCATTTTTCTTTGGAACATCTTCTATTTGCACGCATCTCTGCTTTTATTGTCTGGGCACAAGTTTCACTTGGGGGAAGAAAAAAAAAAGTACTGCATGGTGCCAGCAACTAAGAGAATCTAAAGCTGATCCGGTCTTTCACTCTAAGGATTACATTCCGAGTCCACAAGTTTTATGTTCTTTTAGTGATTAATCTCTCCCCAGTTTAAATTGTAGGATTATATCTGTTTGATTTAATCCAGTTATAAAGGAAAAAAGTTAATGGTGTTGTCTTTAATCCAGGACGTGTAAGCTCTCGCTGTTAGTAGTGACAGATAGCAGAGGGTCAAAGGGCAGCTGTCGGCTGCTTAAATGAGTTCTGGCTGCCTTTATCCTGCCTCAGCCAGCCTCTTGTGTTCGTGTGGCCTGAGCTGTCGGCCCTCTCACGATAGAACAGGGGTTTTGTTTTCTACCTGAGCTTTCTGAGTTTTCCTGATATTTTTTACTTCACTGTGGTGGTTGTTGGTGGAATGCACGTTTCTCTCTGAGCTTGGGCTGCATCGGGCATGTGGGACACCTTAATTGCTTCCTCATCTAACTGCCGCCTCCTCACTATAACCCAAACCAGCCTCTCTTCTGCTGTCTGTGCGGAGATTGGTGGAATTGGTCTCAAATCTGGCCGGCTGCTTCTCTTTCTTTGAGATGTTTGAATGCAGAGCCACCCAGTGGCTTCAAAGAGCATCTCAGGCTTGAATTCCTTTCCGCGCCCCGACGGGCCTGCAACTCTCCATTAAAACTGTGAATGAAGTCTGATTCCCCTTTTGACTTGTCCCTGTTTTCCCGCAGCAGCTCAGCTCCCGAGATACGCCACCCCTTCTCGCTCGTCCCCGAAACCCAAACAGCTCCTCAAAAGCCCAACTGCCCTGCGAGGTAACAGCCTGCTCCTAAGCCAGCTGGAGGCTGTGAGACTGATCTCACACACACGGATATGCACTATTTATGAAACCCTCAATTGAGCTGCATGTGCACCGAGTGTTAGGCCTGTTGATGAGCGTAACTGGTGAAGCAGCTTTGTTGATGGAGCTGAAGCGGATGTGAACAAAGTGCATAGAGGCATTTTAATCTTATGAAGCTTTGAGGTTGCGCAGAGTGTAGTTTAGTTGTTCTTTACGTATCCGTGAGGATAAAGGAAAAAGGAGCTCATGGAGCATGGCTGGCTGAGATGAGCATAATCTAATATTTGCCAGGCAGGTATTTGTAGTAAATAGGAGGAATCTAATGTCCACTAGGGTTGATTCGTTTGAGGATTGTCTTCAGTGGTTCCTGTTAGGGAATAGCCAATCAAACAGGAATTCTGTTGGTTATTATTGTTTCTAAAAGCCACCTGGCTACAAACATAGAATGGTTTTTCATCTTTGGCACTATTCTTATACAATGTTCAGTTCGGAGTGCAGCCATTTCCTTTTTATCAAATGCCTTCACCTTAAATATTTATCACTGCCTTCACTCAGGGCTTGACCCCCCTCCTCTGGCTTTGACACGAGCAGTAGCATCACATCAGTTTGTCCCAATCTTCACTTGACGGTATACCAGTTTTTAATTCTATTGGTACTGTTTATTTTTCCCTGGGGAGTAGTACCCTCAATTCTGCAGTTTTCCTTTGTCAGCAACAACATAAGGACTTTTTAAAACTTCTCATCATTTTTTCATTTTCATTTTCAGAAATAGTCACTAGTTTTAAAGAAAATGCTACACACATTGTGGCAAAAATTTGTTGTGGAGCACATCAAATTCAGCCATCTTGAGTCATCTGTGCGTGTGTGAGCTGTGCATGCGCACAAACTTTCTCAGTCATTTAATCAAATCGAACTTTGTTCATGTAACAATTTTCATACAAAGGCAGGGCAAAGTGCTTTATATAATAAAATCATAATGAAATCACTCCCACCACCCCATAAAACGTCTGTTTGGAAAGTCTAATTATAAAAATAAACATCTGGCTTGAAACTGCGGTGACGACAACAGAAAGCAAAAGATAGACTTAGTCAAAGGTCATTTAAAAAAAAAAAAATGCAGACATCGGATTTCTAAATTCAGTAACTGCCTATTAACATTTAGCTTAAACTGTTGCTAATTCAGTTTTTGTTCTTGTGCCACACTGCGTTGTGTGATAGCACACTGGACGGGTCGCATGTCCATCACAGGGTTGATCATATATGTTAGAAATAATTATTGGAAAAAGTGAATATAAAAAAAGGTCTATCTAATAATATAAAGGTATCCCCCAGTCTCATAGCCAAGCATTAATTTTCATTTATTTGAATTATTACTGAACTTTTTTATTATTTGTATGTTTTTGACATTGAGTTTCTTGTCATTAATTACCTTTATCATCTTTTATACAAAATACATTTTTAGTCTTTTCTAAACTATTTTTTATATTTAGAACATATAGAATGTTGAATTTTGCAACGAACAACGTCTAGCATCATCTTTACACATAGAAGATAGTTATGAATTGAAATCTTAATTCAGGGATGAGGAGTTTGCTTTAAGCTCCCTGTTTTCAGACTTTCAACAACTTGAAATTTGCTTGATTTGAACACTGGTAGTCCTTAAACTGAACCACCTTCCACTGACACATGCACCCGTCTGAATGGTGGCTGTGGATGAGTTAGTGATTTTATCTCCTTTCTATGTATCCTTATTCTATATAAGCCAAGGCTGCATTGCATCAGAATGTCCTTCAGCATGCTATCCCTCCCTCGCTGTCCTAACATTGATCATCATCACGCTTTATAAGCACAAGTGGTTGTTCACCGTGTCAAAAAGAGTCGGTTAGAAGGTAATACGGACCTGCTGCTGCTGTCGGTTGGGAGCTGCTCTGGGATGTCACCACACTGAAGCTCCCCTCCCTGCTCTGATTTAAGGCCTGTCTCTGTTGTCTTCGTCTCTGTCTAGTCCCACTCTCCTGTTGCTTTGGAGAAGAAGGTGATTTCAGTGAGTATTCACTGACGGCTTCTGCCTTTTAAGTATTGTGACTGTGATTGAGCGCCGTCGTCGTGATGCTGCCGGTTTTGACCTGTTTACGCTCTGTGTGTGAGTCGCCTCATTCCCCCATCACATCAGGACTCATAACCTACAGCTGCTTCTCCTCTCATGTCTCCATGCTTGTCGGGTCACTTAGTCGTTTGTAAACCTGCGTTGTTTTAGATTTGAATTAATTTGTTCATGTGAACTGGATGTGGTAAGAGAAGACGTACATGCCGTTTCATACTGTTCCACATAGATGTTTACACGCTCATCGTATGTACTGCAGCCTCACATCATTCTGTCATTGCTAATAGACACAGAACTCTTAGTGTGCGTTGTGGACTTAAACCTGACTGCCTCTCTGCTCTGCCTGTCTTCAGTCCCCTCGCCCAGTAAGCTGCGTACTCCGGCGACGCCGTCACCTCTGACTCTGAGGCAACCGGTCAAGGCCACGTCCACCCCCAATTCAGCCACGTCTACCCCCACCCGCTCGCTGGCTGCTCCGCGCAGTGGCTTGCCCCGACCCAGTGCTTCTGCAGGAGGAGGCATTCCTCTGCCCCGCAGCAAGCTGGCCCAGCCTGTGCGCAGGTATGCACACCAACATCCCCCCCCCCTTAGACATCTGTGACTCCATGACAAAATGTGTGCAACATTAAACCCTGGGTCCTTTCCCCCCCCCTCTTCTCCAAATCAGATCTCTCCCTGCTCCTCGGTCTTACAGCGGCACAGGTGACAACTGGAGAGAAGGTTGCTACTGACACTGTCCAGCAGGGGGCTGTCCAGTCACATTATCAACACAAGGAGTCGGACAGTACAACATGGCACTTTATGTACCTTGGTAACTTTGACAGTAAAGAGAGAGACGAAGTCCCAAGAAAAAAACACAAATCAGAACTTTAAAAAAACAAGCGGACATAGTCCACATTTTGTCAAAGATGGCCTCCTGTTGTGTGGAAACTGGCTGTGGAGGGATCAGGCAAGTGGTGCGGACAGCCCAGAAGATGCCAAAGAAACCAGTCCATCTCCAGCTCCGCCAACAGAGGCCACATCACCTGCCTTGTTTTGACTGCAGTCATCTGTGAGACAGTCTACAGTCCTCCCCCCCCCCCCCCCCCCCCCCCCCCCCCCCCCCCCGCTCTTCTGTCACCTCCCTCAGGTTGAAATGTTTCCACGCATTTCTCTCGTTATGCTCTGTGTTCTACAGACGTTGGTGAGCAATCTCTATGACGATGCGGTGCAGGTGAGCAGTCCTGTGGTGTTAAGAGAATTGTTGATGTCTTGCGACAGTGAAAGCACCTCTGTGTGGGTATGACTCTTTAAGAATCTTTCCTCTTGTCAAATCAGCCAGAATATATGCACAATTTTGTTTCGGAAATTATTTATTCAAATTATTTAAGAAGCGTTTGTCCAAACATCCATATCAGTATTTTTTGTTGGAATATTTTATTTGTTTGAAATGTGCATTTTGAACCTCAACTTCAAGCTAACTCTCCAAAGCCTTCTCTTTGTTCATGAAAGTGTCAAATTAGGGCCGGTGAGGAGTCTGTGTGATGGATGATGCTTCAATCCAAGTCTTAGTTCCGATTTGTACCACAGTTTACCAAGATCATATTAAAGTCCTCAGTGGTCAGTTCAGACGAAGGTTGGCATCAGATCTGAGTTTTAGTTGTTGTGGAACGAAGACTTCATTTTTTGATAAAGAAGCTGACCTTATCAAAAAAATAACAATAAAATATATAAAATTAAATAAAACTTGTTCAAATTCCCATCACAATTTCTCCCAGTGCATCATTCATGCCATGATAAAATAAATGAAAAAAGATTGAAAATGGTCCTGATTAACAATGACTTTCAACTGGCTTTCACCTCTTGTGCTATAAATCAAAAGGCATGCCAGTGTTAGGGAAGGTGTTCTGATCATTGCTGTGGTGGCTGTCTTTAACTAGTGCCTATAATTTAAAGTTTCACCTGAGTTTGAGCATCATGTTTGTGTGTTCAGCATTCTGTGCCAGTTTCTGGTTTTGCCAACATTTTCAAGTTTTGCATCTATGCTTGTTCGATTGGTTTGCTTGCCTGTTTTTGTAAATGAACCAACACATTTAAAATTGCTTTAAAAATGTTTATCATGCGCCTTTGTATTTATAACAAAAATACACATTCTGTACATGAAACTATTTATTAAAGAGAGGTGCCTCTGTCAAAGCTCCGACTCCGTGGGAAGCCAGGATGAATGTTGCAAAAAGACATATACCACACATTTTGTGTGAGCGTTTTTGTTATTGGACATTTTTGTTTTTATATCCACAAACATGAACTTTGGTTTCCCTGTGTAAAATGACATTTCAAATAAAAACCAAAAAGTTATCGTCTCCTGTGTTGGGTAACCTTCTGATTTCATTTGATTTATAAAAATGGAGCTTTACACTCCTTTCAATATAGTAGTCAGAGTAACAAGACCATAACAAAGAGCTTAATTTAGTTTATCCCCCAAAAAATCTAAGAAAAATGTTGGGATCGTGCCATTTAAATGTCCTATGTGTCTTACTGAAATTTACAGGGCTTTTCCTGAAAAGGCGTCATTCGGACGTGGGTATATATATTCCTCTTACACCTCCGTACGTACCTTTCAGCAGTGATGGAGACTTTCCTTCTGTATATGTTACTGGTTCAGTGGGCAGTAATGCACCCCCCCATTCCATCAGAGATAAAGGCTTTCAGCTGAGTGCTGATAACACGGTAGATGCTCCCTGTCCTATTTCATCTGGAGGGCATGGTTTGTGAATCATTTTGGTGCTTTTATACCATGCAAAGTTGAGACCCACTTGCTCTTTAGGACAAATTATTCTAAATTTGTTAGTTTAAAAAAATTGGTAACAGAAGAAATCATTATAAATATAAATTCGTTCATACTGTACCATAACTGTGTTTGGGCGTGTATTTGGCAGACAGGAGGTATTACCCACCTGGAGCCCGCTGCTGGTTGCAGGCAGGGAGTCGTTATGTGCCTCTGGAATGAGGAGGAGACTGAAAGCCTGAGTCACTGACTGCTGCAAACGACCATCCTGCATTAGCCTCTGCCCTGAAGACATGTGACGTCAGTGGATTCAGATTGTCCTCTTTGTGTTTGACACCAGGACCAGGAGCTGGAGGAGTCTTCCTTGGCTGCAGACACACATAACACAGATGACTTGATACTGAATGTTTTTAGCTCACTGTGCAAAAACTGTGATATTTTTCACTCATGGTTATGAAAGTGAAATTAAAGTAGGAGGGCAATTAGTCCTGAAGCTCCCCCAGACCATTTGGGTAACAATAGACTGATGTAGCCTATTTTGGTAACATTTTCCACCTTGTAATAAGCTCGTTCAGTCTTCTGAGTGTTCTGAACTGCATCAAACTTTGTGGATAAAACAGTTTCAAACAGCAGACAGCAGTCTGTGCGCGCTTTGAATTCCCGGTGAATATCGTTGACATCATGCTCCTTTTTTTGTTGTCTGATATCCGTTTCCTCCAAAAACACCAATCGAGGGCGTCGTTCAAATCGTTTAAGCTTAATTTCTTTCAAAATTAATAATGAACACCCGCGTGCCCTTCTTGTGCCGTAAAGTTTCAGAAGCGAGCTCGTGCGTCATGCATCCTCCTCTGTCCAATATAAGAAAGGGGCAGGCGCATTTTTACAGTGTGCTGCACGAACATAAAGACCGCGCAATTTTCATTCATGCAAGCTGTGCCTTAAAGCTTCAGCCCCGTTTTCTGGGAGCAGCCTGGGCGTTACTGGCTGTGCCAACCAGAGTTACTGCCACCCAACACCGACGGAGACGGAGACTCCGCTTCAGACGTCCAGCGCGCACCGGTCAGTGAGGCGTTTTACTGTCGGTACCATGGCACCATCACACTCCCCGGCCATTGGACCTTCAAGAGTTTCTTATTAGTGACAGCGCGCCTCTAGGGGAATCATTTTACGCACCGGGAGACGCAGAGCGACTGTGGAGATTGTCGGTCCTCCTGTTGCGCCATGGAGAACTCCAGCCTGCTGGGCGGCAGCGCACGCATTGGTGGGATGGTGGATTTTCTCATCTCAGACTCCTTGAAGCAACTTCTCGGTTCCCCTGGGCAGGGTGCAATTGACGGATTAGGGGTCACCGGTGGTGCCAAGTTCCTGAAAAGCAGAGGATACAGGACCTCCGCTGGAGCCGAGTTTATGGCCGCTCCGCCGACGGAGCCCCCCCACCTGATGCCCGCCTTCTGGGACTCCCCGCTTAGCCACGGAATCAATGTGTTTGTGGGACTGGTCCTTTGTTTTACCATGTTGGGGCTGGGCTGCACGGTTGAGGTGAGCCAGCTGGGAGAGCATATCCGCAGACCCATCGGGGTGCTGCTGGCTCTGGTGTGTCAGTTTGTCATCATGCCCCTGGTGGCCTTTCTGTTGGCTTTGGCTTTCTCTCTGGATGATGTGGCAGCCATGGCAGTGCTGCTCTGTGGCTGCTGCCCCGGCGGAAACCTATCAAACATCATGTCTCTGCTGGTGCATGGAGAGATGAACCTGAGGTAGGGTGCTGTAACCACCCCCAATATGCAGGGAGTCATTGTGAGAAATAAAAATGATTTTCACTGGCTTCACAGGATTCTGTGGGTATCATTCATTCATGTACACACGGAAATAACCCACAACAAGTCCATATAAAACTTAACCTCAAAGTAATTGCTAAATGTTTGTGAGATAAACAATTATGTCGTACAGCAAGTAAAAACGAAGGCCCTCTTTGCCCCTTTGCTCTCCTCTCCCCAGCATCATCATGACCATATCCTCCACCCTGCTGGCGCTCGTTCTCATGCCGCTTTGCCTGTGGATCTACAGCCGGGCCTGGATCAACACACCAGTGGTCGACCTTCTGCCCTTTGGGGCCATCATCCTGACCCTGTGCAGCACTCTTATCCCCATTGGTTTAGGGGTTTTGCTGAGGTACCGCTACACGCGTGTGGCTGACATTGTCTTAAAGGTGAGTCAGAGCTCTTCATCAAAGTTATTTTGCAGAAATAAAAACATGAAGTGATTTAAGTCAACTGGACGTTGAGTACTTTTACTGATAAGGGACCACCTTTGCGCCGAGGCGCACTGCGTCTTTTCCAGCTGGAGTCATTACTGGTGGGGGATGCTGACCGCAGGGAGAGTGACATCACAGTTTTTGTGTCAGGAAGAGCTCCTCCTTACTGTAACTGATAAAGCCTTTCATGAGGAAGGGGACTCGTAATTCAAAGACAGTGTAGTTAGGCAGCAGAGAGGCACCAGTCCTGTCGGTTTCCATGAGAAACTATGGCTTATATAGAACTCAATCATAGGGAAATCTGCAAATGGAATACGTAAAACAGATAAAAGCACAATAGGGACAAAAGGAGGATGGATCAGTTGTAAAGGTTTTGTAGGTTGACGGTCGTTACTTTACAGTTCAGTGCCGTACTCTCTCTTAGATGAAAACTTGACATATCTTAGATAAATAATGAAATGGGACCACTGGAGTAAACGGAGATAATAAAACATTTTTAAAAACACATCAAGTGCATATCAACATTATCTGGAAGAGACATCTATGAGATAAAGGGGGGAAAAACAGCAAGACCTGAGAAATGTTAGTCCCTGAGATGATCCATTTAATGTTGCTCAAAGCCTTATAAGAAAGGTTTCATGGAAAGGTGGTGGACAAGAAGCCATTGTCACTAGATGGAAACTGGGAGAAAAGGCAGTGAGATTCCATATGACGCAAGAAGTGGGCTAAAAATCCACGACAACAGGTCTTATGGAGGGGGAAAACCCTTTTCATTCCTTGTGCTTGTGTCGACAGGCTTCTCTGTGGTCCCTGCTTCTCACCCTTGTGATGCTGTTTATTCTGACCGGAGCCATGCTGGGGCCAGAGCTGCTTTCCACCATCCCAGCGTCTGTGTACGTGGTGGCTGTCCTGATGCCGCTGTGTGGCTACGCCGCAGGCTATGGCCTGGCCGTGCTCTTTGACTTGCCCCCCAGTAGCCGCAGGGCGGTCTCCCTTGAGACGGGGTGCCAGAATGTGCAACTGTGCACAGCCATCCTGAAGCTGGCCTTCCCACCACAGCTGATGGGGGGGATGTACATGTTCCCCCTGCTGTACGCCCTATTCCAAGCAGCCGAGGCCGGCATTTTCATCCTGGCCTACAGGATGTACAGGAAGAATGTCCTGCACAAGCCAGACCCCATGACGGACGGCTACGACACGGACCTAACATACCAAAGGTTTCACGATGAGGACTTTGACTCGTCTTACGGTGCGGTGACAGTGAGCGACCCAAACAGCATCATGTTGGATCCCTGCCCCCCAGATCCAACTCCTGTTTAATGTGCAGATTTTAAATGAGGGGCAGCAGATTAAGATTTGCATAGGCTTGTTTTAACTCCTAAAAGAAAATACTTGGAGACTAAGCGGATATATTTTATCATACACGAGTTGGTGCTTTCTGTCATAAGCTCATTCAAGATAACCACCAATATATTTTACCATGAAAGAACGTTGACATAATCTGTACTATACATAAAAGTAGACATTGTTTAGTTCTTGTGAGCCACGATTGTGTGTATGTGGGTTTGCAAGCGGGCGTAAAAGCCATTTGATAACATATCAGATTCATCCATGTGCAGATTTCCAAATAAGCCTGTGCCAAACGAGTGTCTGAGTAAACGGTACTATATGTGTATATTATAGACCACTGTATAAAAGAAAAAAATTAAAAGACGTATAAGCAAAACTGAACTTGGACTTGCTTTGATTGTGTGTTTGCTGTATTTATTTGAAGAGGGTCCCACACCTGAACCCAATTAGGCCTGATTGAGGGCTCCTATTGTCCGATCTATTTAAGTAGTAACAACAACCAGCCCGTGTTGGTTGAACAAAAAATGGCAACGTATGGTGAGGAGCCAGTAGACAACTACTTCTACTCATCCTGCAACCCTTACATGGGCCGATATCCCAGACCCAGGGACTCGGGGTGGAAATATAAAAGTTACTTCTCCCATTATGGAGACACTTCCGAGGCCTTTAACAACCACCAGCGCGCGCAGCTCAAGTCCATCTTGTCCCAAATCAATCCCAAACTCACCCCGCGGCTCCGGAAGGCAAACACCAAAGATGTGGCCGTGCAGGTAAACCCGAAGAAGGACGCCTCCGTGCAATGCTCCATCGGCCCGCGGACCCTTCAGGCTCTGAAGCGGGACCTCCAGCGTAAGAGGAGGTCTGAGCCCGCGACCCCCGGCGGCGGCAGCCCGGCGGCGGCGGGAGGGGTGCGGTACCCGCGCACCTTGGCTGTGTATTCGCCCATAGCTTACAGGAGCGTCACGTCCTTTCTGGTGGACGACAACAACAACAAAGAGTCCTCGACTGACGCGGCGGAACCTCGCGGTGACCCGGGTGAGTCCATGGGTGAAGCCGGGTCGAAGGACGAAGAGAACCAGGCGGGCGAAGGCGGAAATGCCGAAAAACTAGCCGAGCGAAACAAAACTGAGAAGTCCAAGCCACAGGTGAACGACGGGGCCCAATTAACTAACGAGGAGGCCAAGGGCAAGGCGCGCGTGCGTTTCCAGGTGAGTACTGTCACGCGCGTGTCTTTGTTGTTGTTTGTTTGTTCTTAATATACGTAGTCCACCTACATTTTGGGCTTAAAGGTAAGTTACAAAACTTTACATGTTAAAGTAAGCCAAATCTTAAAAGGAGGTATCTTTCCTTCAAATCAAACTGAATTTAGTTTAGTATAATTTTGAATATGAAAACACCGAAAACCGGTCATACCCGGTCTATAGTAGTGCTGGTTCGCCGAGTCATTTGTAGAAAGGTTTTAAGATGTCTGCAACTGAAATGGGTTTTAATCTCAAAACAACCAAAATGTTTTTCACCAGTTTCTGGAACAGAAGTACGGATATTATCACTGCAGAGAATGCAATCTTAAATGGGAGAGCGCCTATGTCTGGTGTGTTCAGGGTACCAACAAGGTAAGATGTAAACATTACACCTAATGAACAGATTACCAGCTCCTATTTTGTGGTATGATGTATTGTGGCTTGAATCCTATTAAAAGGGCTCTTAAAAAATGTCATGTGTCCCAGGTTTACTTTAAGCAGTTCTGTAGGAAATGCCAGAAAGAATTCAACCCATACCGTGTTGAGGACATCACATGTCATGTAAGTTTTTAATTTTCTCTCCTAAAGCTGTAACTTTTCCCAAAAGGCTTGCAAACTAATGTCGATTCTTCCCTTGCAGACTTGCAACAAAGCACGCTGCTCCTGTGCTGTAACACAAAGGCACGTTGATCCCAAACGACCACACAGACAGGACTTGTGTGGCCGATGCAAAGGCAAGCGGCTGTCCTGCGACAGCACTTTCAGCTTCAAATATATAATCTGAGATGTCTCAACTGAACTCTGCCCTGTAAACTCATCTGCACAAGTTCCAGAGGCATCTACGGCCAGTATAATTACCCTGCATGTGCAATAATTGCAACTCAAACGCAAAGCACAGATTTTTGGTCTTTCAATATTTTCGTTCATATTTTGATTCTGAAATAAATGGATACCTTGCATTCTGCATTAGTTTCTTCAACCCCCCCACTTGTATTAACTTCAACACTAATCTAACAGCAGGGACTATGGGACTAAATGCTAACCTCAATGCTGGAACAGTTGAATGTTATGGACTGTAACGGTGCTATTGACTGGGCACCAGGAAGTCGATTGGTGACACCCTTCAATAACTTCAGACAACTCCTGTAGGATTAAGTCTTTATTTCTTCCAGAGAAGGCTGGTATGTGAAGGAAAAGTGTACAATGCAGCTCTACAACAAAATACCTCCCAAGTAAATCCTTAAATTAACAGCATTGTAACATATCGGACACGCAGAGTGAAAGCTGAGGAATGAGTACAGTGTGCCATGACGTGCTTTATTTTGGAAAGCATTCATAAGTCCATGTCTTGCAGTCACAGCAATGTAGGGCCTGTCATAGTTCAAAGCTTCAATGAGTTGATTCCTCTTGAAGAGTGGATGAAAGGAATGCATTGGGAACATGTCTTGGCTTAACTGAAATGGTCAAGGGAGCTGGCTACATTTTGATCTCCCATGCAATTGCAGGTAGCCAACACTAACCCACTCTAAAATCATTCGGAAAAACCACAGCCGAGGCAACCTCGGCGGAAATGTTGAAGCTCACAGGATGACACAAAGTGGAGCGGATCAAATGAATCAAACCTGGTCTTCGCTTTCTCTCATCACATTAGCTTTATACATACATCCTCTTTTGGAGGAACAGTGCATTAGACAAAAGTATCAGGGGGGGAAAGAAAATACTGGTTTTACACTATACACTTTCTAAAATATATACAGAGTAAAATAAGTTATGTTTCCATAATGAGCTGTAGCCAGTCTGCACTTGTGTGCAATTATATGCATTTGTGTGAAAGCATATACCAGAAGTTCCAATATATATAATCACACAGTCAAGAGTCTCTAAAGGCATCTACTTATTTGGTTAAAGAGTGAGTTTTGCGTAAAGATCTGTTGAAGGAGACTCCCCTCTCAGAGCAGATCAATAAACAGATATATTTCTCTTTTTACACTCCCTGAAGGTAAACGTCTCCTGCAGGGTATACAATTACATGTTAAATATCCTAACATTTACAACCTAGTATGTTAGCTCTAATAAAAAATACATTTCTCCAAAAAAATATTCTTGCAGTGCTTTTCTCTCTCAAGCATGCAGTTGAAAACTTTTTCTTTTTTAAAAACAAAACTTTTCTGAGTTTGCTTGACGGCGGTTCCTCACACATGTAACGCTTTCCTTTTACATGCTGCGGCTTCCAGCCTCGACTCCGACCCGACGGGTCCTTCGTGTCAGGCAAAAAAAAAAAAAAAAAAAAAAAAAAAAAAAAAATAATCATCCAACTGCGTCTTCTCACTCTTCCCGGGACACGCCACCACACGGCTTATTGCAACAGAATTTTGCAAGTTGGCTGAGTCTGGGGAAAGCTAATAGCTTTAAGCAACGCATTTTAATAATATATTAAGAGTCACAGTTATTCCCACACATCCTTTAGCCCTTTGTAGGTGAAGTCTATTGTCTTCCCTCCCTCTACAGCTGATGTGAGGTGTGTGTAGAGCAGGGAGATGTTTCTGTCCGGTTTCATGTGAGTCTGCAGCGCTGGCAGCTCAGAGTCCGGTGCTGACCACGGTGGTGTGAGGCTGGCAGGCCTGGGCCTGACTCAGAGCCTCCCGGATCTGCAGGTTGAGCTCCATGAGGCGGGAGCTGGCCTGAGACAGGTCCCTGCTGGGGCCCACCACTGCCAAGCAGCCCGTCTGGCCCAGCGTCTGGTGGCGAAAGTAGATGTGCAGGAGGGTCTGAACTGCGTTGTCGGCCTCGCTGCCGAAGATGTCATTAGGCCACAGAGATCTAGAGATAAATAACCCAGAGAACAACGGCTTTTAGAGTCTGGCCAGTTTACAACACAAAATCACACATGGACATCATGAGCATTGACCACATGCTTCAGGCATAACTAAAAAAAAACAAAACAAGCATGGTTATAAACCAAAAGCATAGATTAAAAAAAATTATATTAGAATCAAAGGTGAAGACTGGCACTAACAGTTTTACAAAGTAATTTATGAAAGACCCAGACAGACGATAACCAAAGAATAAATAGATGATGCTCCATACATCTGTTTCTGGATATCTCACCTGAAGATTTTGACCTGTGTGAGGGCAGAGCCGAAGTCTCTGCCTCGAAGAGTTTCAATCAGAGACTGGATGGCCGTCTCTGTGTTGGTCTGGGCATTGTCTGACATGCACACGTCCTCTTGAGCATCATTTCCTGCTTCTGCCTCAACCAGGCAACTCTCCAGGATTGTGAGCTCCTCAGACATGTTGGTCACCTGAGAAAAATAAAGATTACAACATCATCTACCCCAACCCCAACAAGCGAAATCTTGCAAAGACGGTGGGAAATTGGAAGGAAAAGGAAATCTCAAAGCTGAATCCGCTGACCCTATCCGTCTGCAGGGAAAATCTTATTCAATCAAGTAGCACAACCTGATTTAAGTGAAAACCAAGTTCAAATAGGGGCGATAACAACCTAGAGATGACTACTTATAGAACAAGTGCCTAAATTACACAGCTTGTAAGAAACTGATATAAATCTAAGATAAAACAGTTCAATTGTTTTCAACACAACAGGGGAAAAAAGTGCAGAAAATGAATCAGCTGTCGGAGAAAAACAGACTCCCAGCAGTGCTGCTGCTGGTCTGTTCTCATTTCTCTAACAAAAGGAGAAAAGACAGATGTCTTGCCATTAGGGTCAAAGTATGAACAGAGTTTTTAGAAGGAAATAACCACGCCCAGGTCAGACAGTGCAGTACTAGCCCATATTGCCAAAAAACCCAAGAGCCGACCTGGTGAAAGTGATAATGCCATGTGGTTTTCCTGTTTCAAAGGTGAATTTCTAACTTCAGTCTTCAAAGAATTATCGCCAAAAGGGGGCAGAGTTTTACCAGGTGAGGTAAGTTTTTATCTACATTTAAGTTTATTAATTTGCAGGTAATTTGTTCATTTTTTTATTCTGGATGACAGGGAAAACGGGTCGTAACTTTCATTCAGACTCAAAAGTCTGCGTGAAAAATGAAAAATGGGCAACAAGCCAATTTTTTTAAGCATGGGCTTTAACACAAAAAAACATCCCTCTTAGGATTGGAAAGCACCACTATAGTAAATTCTGTCCCCACTCTAAATGCTTTTAGTTGCATCTTTTCTACATAATACATTACCCTCCCCCCCAATACTGTGATTGCTGTTGTTGAATTTTGATATTTCGTCCAAGGAAAGATAGGAAGCAGTAGACAGAAAAAAACTGCAGGCTAACAAAGCATAGAGCCTATAAACAGTTACTGAAAATAACAATAATCCTAGACTGGAAGGCTCGAACTATCAATGCTGTGAGTGCAGGGCTACGGCAATTGTTTGTTTAAAAATTAATTATTCATTCACCAAAAGGGAACGGAGAAACAAATGGCTTAGGGGAAACTTCCTCGTGGTGGCAATGAGTTGGGAATACCATAGCTGTAAAATCCACATTTATCCACAACTGGTTTACATATAGAATAAGGAGTTAATTAAAAAACAAGAAAAAAAATGCCTAAAATGTATCTCCTCAGTCTGAGAAAAGGACCACAAAGATGTGAAAAAACCCATCAGAGAGGATTAGCCTTCAGCATTTCATGTTAAAAGTTACAAACATAACTTTCACAATAATTAAATTATTATTTTTTTTAAAGTAAGGCTGGAAAAAGGGTTGGGAAAGGTCTTACATCTAACAGCATTACTTTTTTGTTGACCAAAGTTAATAAAAACAGGAAGTAATCCAAAGTGAGTGACAGGGATGTGAGATGCATAAATGGGAAAGCGACACCATACAATCCCTGATTTCATAAGCATCCCAACTGAATATCTAACCCGCCGCCTAAATAAAAACCCATCCCACTGAGAACAAAACTGGTGTCCCTAAATCTAGAAAAAGTTTTCCATAATGAACCCTGGCTCCCTGTTGGTTGGGCAGCAGTCAGTCGCTGGTCTTGTTCTCACCTCGGCCTCCCTCTTGATGGTGTCCACCCTGCTGATGAGCTTACAGTAGGCCTGGAACAGCAGCAGCAGCTGAAAGTGCAACTTGTAAAGCCTCCGACACAACTCCAGCTCCTGCAGAGCACACAGACAAACAAACCGTGACACGGCGGCACTGAGGTCGGGCTGGCACTGTGCAACTACTCTGATGATCACACGATTAGACAGATGGGTATCCTGGGTTAGAGGCATGGGAGTAGATGAGGGGGGTTAACATCTGCTTTGGGCCATTGAGAAAGAGGTGAGTGAACTTCCATTAGAATCAGTCGCCAGATTTCAATTAGATAACTTATGTCACCCTCTGGTGTGGTGCTGCCTGTGGGCCACAACAACTAGACTTGGCTGACAAAGAGGAGCGATCCAAAGAATGAAAAAGTTACACCCCTACTCCAGGGCTGAAAACATGGTAGAGAAGAACTGCGATTTAAACCGATGCGGGAGCGAAAGAATGATCATGCAAAATGAAAAAAGAGAACTACGACGTCTGCTTGCTAACGATCTGAGTGGTGAGAGCACTTCTTAAAAAAATAATAATAATCAACAGCAAATCGGGGTGCAGGAGTAACACAGCATCTTATGAATGGATGAATAAAGGCATTGAATTGGGTTACATGGCAAAAATCAAAGCGCAGACACGGATAGAGAGGTGGGTGGCAGAGCACAGGCTGTGGCTATCAACGGCACGGCTATATGCAGAGAGATGAGATGGTCAGTGTCCGGATGTCATTATGAAAATCTGTAATATGAGAACCACTTACTGCTAGATTTTCCATTTGCTAAGCAAGAAGTTGAACAGGTCACACACATATATACACACGCGCACACGCACACACACAAACACACGCACACGACAACAAACAAAACAGAAGGAGAAAAAGATCAAGAATTAGTGAGCTTAAACACAACAGCTGCGACTCAGTGACCTGATGGGCAAGGTGAAATGGCTTATTAGCCTCCCTTCACACAGGTCAGGGGAGGCTGGAAACATGTGAGCCCACATCAGCCGTAACAGAGACATCGACTGAAAAGCTGGATAACAGCAAGAGTAAAGAGGCAGACAAAGGAAAAGGTAGAGAAGAGACTAACAGAGAGGAAGGATAGGAGCAAAAATAATTTTGGATCTGGTAGTGCTGTGGCCGCAAAAACAAAAAAGAAACTAAGTAATCTAAGACTTTAACCCAAGACTGGATTCACTAGGGGCTGGATAAAAAAAACAAAAATAAAAAGATCAACAGATCTATGCAAAGCATGGTGTATTTGTTTCTTAAAGTTATGCAGTGCCAATTATTCTAGATCTAAATGGCTTGCAGCCTTAAAAACAAAAACAAAAAAAAACAAGATCTCCAAGAGGACTGTGGGAACAAAAAAGAAATCACATACTTTACAGCTATCAGAATAATGCTTGTGTTGTTTAAATGTATTCTGTCATTTGTCCTTCAGAGGAAAGCAAACACTCTGTCTGCTTTTGTGAAGAGATGACGGGGCAAATACACACCATGTGTGCTGTTAGTAGTACTGAGGAGTAGCATTAGTATGCAGTTTTGTTCACTAACATTAACACTTTTTTAATCTGTCAAACAGAAAGCCATGCACAGGAAGCTTGCAGACAGGGGACATTGCATTTCATGTATTTTTGGTACACAACCCTTAAACTCGAGACTGGATGTGGGGGGAAAACACAGAAAGCTTCAATGACCAATCAGAGCTTAGGACCTGTGTAAATATGATTGCAATAAATGAGGAACTGGGTCTGAAAAACATGGCGGTATCTAATTTGGCCAAAGTCACATAAAAATGCAACTTAAAGACTCTCTCGTTGCCAAACTAATAAAACACCCTTCTGTTCCTTTATGTTTATTAGGGAGTTTTACTGTCCAGACCAACGTCATTGACGTAAACACAGACTTGGAGCTGGCGTTTATAATTTAATGCAAAAATGTGGGAGCTCCAAAAAGAAATTTTTACTGATACCAGTGTGAGCTTCTATTCATACCTGTGCGTGTGTGTTGAGGTGCTGGCTGCTGTCTTTATCCCCAAAAGTTTTTCTGCAGTTCTCCAGCCACTACAGGAATGAGAAAAAAATAACAAAAGAGGTGAGGCAAAACATGAGGCCGAGAAGTATCAGGCTTAGTGGAGAGAGTAGGATGCCAGTAAGAGTGATTACGAGAGCCCCCCCCCCCCTTCCAGTGGATGTATGCATCTACATTTGTTTGTATATATAATAAAGCCCGGTCAGGGCGGAGATTCAATAAGAGTGTGGTACTTAGCGAATTAGAGATAGCCTGTTCCAGAGCATGGGACGGTATCTAGCCCTCCAGGGAATATTGCCGTCTCATTCAATTAGCGCCCCCGCATCCCAGAGCCCTCTGCAATCTCATTTCTCTTGCTTACCCGCCCCCCTTCCTCCCTTCTCCCACCCCTCAAAGCTTCTCCTGCCTGGCCTTCTGTAACTGATTTAAGAGCAGCGAGGGTTATTTTTAGCCCTCCATTGGGGGCCGTCACACGTGATGTGGACGCTGACGGCGGTTAAATCCACTCTCGCCCAACTCTGATTCAATGTTGGCTTTGCTGATGAGACCGATTTGAGCCTATCTTGTACAGCATCGGCTGTCTGTCTTTATGTTCCCCCTGCCTCGCACGCTGCGCTTGCGTAGAGATAAAGGGCGTTTTACCCGAACTAAGGAGCCATTAGGAGAGAGTCCCTTGGAGTCGTTCTCGCTCGCTCATCCTGACACAACAACGAAAAGTACAACCGAGGCAGTCTTTGGAATCAGAGCACGGGAGGATTCGTGTCCAGAGGGTAATGTGTTCAAAGAGAATAGGGAAGCAGCTGCGGCGGACGAGGAATGTGGTAAAGGCTGTTACTCACAAGCTCTGCTGCTTCTCTCTTGGCGTTGTAAGTGTCCAGATGCTCCTGCAGCTCCAGCACACTAAACTTCAGAGTTTCCAGAAGTCCACAGGAGACCAGCTGCAACGACAAGGCAGGACACCACAGAGACTTAGCCACAACGTCCAGTAAAGGCACAGTGTTTGGTCACTAATATTCACCCAAAAGGGTGCAAAAAAGCATAAAGGCAAAGGCCATTTTATTGCATATCATCGGTATGGACACATTATGTCTGCAACCCTGTTGGTCCCCATCTTCTTTTAATTTATTTTCTTTTTTTCAAAAACAATTATAATTGTCTTACCGTCTCTGCATCCAGCAATACAGTGGGGCACTGCGAGTGAGACGTCATGACTTCCAGGGAGCTGAGGAACTGATTTCCCATTCGCTGGAGCCTTTCTCCAAGAAAGCGAACAGATGAATGTGTAATGGAGCCAAATTTCCTCTGTATACTCTATAAAAACAAAAGGAATAAAAAACAAATTGTGATATATAATGATAACAACAACAACAATAATAAGAATTCTAATGATAACAATAATAATGACGATTATAAGAACAACAACAATGATAAAATAACAACAACAAAAGATTTTTTTTCAGGCTCTGTACCAGTAAAAACTAAATAAATGCATTCACCTCAAATAGTCTGGAAAACACGTGGAACGTGTAAACAGCCGAGGACCCATCTGTGTCTGACAACATCTGGTTGACATGACAACGCCAGGCATCTTCCTCATTGTCGTAGGCGACGGGCTGGAATGCTGCCAGGATGGCAGAGAGGAAGGGCGACGGAGGTGGAGAGGCCTGGATCTCTGGGAAGCCGTCTGCGTCACCCTCATCTTGACTGAAACACACACACACACACACACACACACACACAGGGGGCCAATGAGCTATGATCCAACATGTCCCCCCCCCCCCTCCACCGCTGAAGGACGAATGTAAACACACGCACGCTCGTTGTCACTTTCTGCATATAAGCAGCCTCACGGCGGTGTGCTTCTGTATCCTCCACTGTAGAGGTCCTACTGTACAGCACTGAAGGCTTTAATCCACGGCAGGATTCACATATTAACGTGAGCTATTAGCATTTTAGCAGCACGCAGCCACCTCCATGTCTCTGTCTCACGTAAACAAACGCAGCAGCATGCAGGCACACATACTCACAGGCCTCTAGGACCGAACAGCCTGAAGAAGCAGACGGAATATAAGTATTTGAAGCCTGCACTGCCGAGCGCTGCAGCGGACACGGTCTCTGTCCTCATCCTCATCCCAACTACCGCTTCTCTTCCCCAGCTCTCTCCCCCTTCTCTGCAGCACCAATGTGCTGCAACTGCTAACAGCACCAGTGCGCTGCTCTCACATCCCACACAAGACTGCAGAGTGCTCCGTACCAGCAAAAAAAAAAATCCACATGCGCGCGCGCGCACACGCACACACACGCACACAAACTAAGCTCTCATCGCAACACTGAAAGGAGGCAGCTAGTGTTGGTTTCTATGTTGCCCTCTTTTAATCATGACTCCCTGGTAAAAAACCCATTTAACGGGTTAATGTCTTACAGTAATGAGACAATCACTTTTAAGCCCAAGCTACTCATACACATATGATCCATTCTTGGGCCTACTTCAGCTAAGTAAATGAGCTTTAATAGAACAACATTATAGTAAGAGGCTATTTCTGTAATTATTATCACTGTTAAAAAAGAAAAAAACCCAATAACAAACAGTTTAGTAGGATGTGTTTTCAGCAAAGCTTCTGCGCTCTTACAGAGTAGTTTATATCTACCCCGTTTGCACTGTCCCCTACTCAGAATTGGCCCACCTTGAGATGGGTACGGTAAGAGAAGTGGACTGAGGCCAGACTGCCGTGAGCCACCTTCACAGTTTCAGACAGCCATGCCAAGAAAGGCATTGCATCGCAACGATGATTTAGAGTCCTGCAGAATCCACCTATTGCAATCTGTATGTACACGAGCATAAAGCACCTGACTCATCTTTAATAAACTTAACCTAGGTGTATCACAATGGAAGTAATTAAGACATTGTTTAAATAGCTTTTAATGCCACTGTGTTTGTTCTGTGGCATGGTGGCTCAAATGGTCAAAGGATACACCACAAGACCCTTACATGCAAATGGCGCTCCTAATGTGATCTAAAGTTACAGGTTTTTTAGTTGTTGTTGCTTTTTTGGGGGTAAAAACAACAAAGGGTGTGTGTGTATTAATACAGGAGAAGTCACAGCAAAACTGTTCTTATTCAATTTTTTTTGTTAGATGACAAAAAAGGGGGAAAATATCTATCCAAAACTGAGTCATTTCTGCTCCAATATCAACACAAGATGTCATTTTCAGCTGACATAATCAATCAAAATAATGTAAAGATGGCATAAAGAAGCAGGGAATTCAGTTATATTTACATGAGCACAGAGAAAGTGAGAAGCAGCGGGAATGGCCTGACTGTTTTCTCAAAGATATTTCAGTCAATAACTCGATTCTGCCCCATGTGCTTATATACTGGGATAAGGAGGGCGGACAGATGAAATAGCCGAGTCAAAGTGTAAATCACTCATGTATGCATATAACCATGCTGAGAGTGCGTTTGTTTTGGAGAAAATTAAACCACAGTGAAACTCCAAAACACGACATACATAAGTCTCAGGTGATTAATATCCTAGGTGGCTCATTCTATATGTTTGGATTTGGCTTACTTGGCAGAAAGCCTGAAACTGGATCAAAAGTTGCACATGATGCAGAATCTTATGGCTCAGTAGAAACTTTCTAAATTTAACTTCCAGTTGCACGCACATACCTGGACATGCCGGAGAAGTCGGCCTCCTCCTCCTCACAGCGCTCGTCGAGCTCCCTCAGGGCCTGCGTCACATCCTCCTCCCACACGCAGTCACTGCTGCCGTCTGGATCGGGATCCGGATCGGGCTTTTTCTCTGGCGGCACGGGCAGATACAGAGGCAGCATGGTCTGGGCCTCTTCCTCACAGAGGGACCCCGGTGGCGTGTCGATGGCCGGCGGGGGAGGGGGGGCCGGATCCAGGTCTTCGGGAGGGTCCGGGGTCTCCTGGGGGTCCTGGATGTCCTGAGTGTCTGGGAGCTCGCTCAGCTCGGGTGGGTCAGAGGGCAGAGGGGGGGCGCTGCAAAACCCCGTGTCCTCACTCACACTGCTACTCAGCTCGTCTGCTGCCGTCATGCTGACAGCATCCTGTAACGCAGAGTCAGAGGGGGGGTCGTCAGAAGCAGCTTGGATGAAACATTCCCATCCCAGTACTTGAAAAAGGCTGGAATTCAAACTTTTTTCCCGTCCGGTTGTTATTGTTTAATTATGAAAACTTGTCCGCCGAAGTGGAATGTAACCGTGAAACTAACCCAAAATAGGAACCCTAACCGTATTTAAACGGCCAAAAACTATCGATCGACTTTTTGCAGGAACTTTTCTGCATATATTTATGGGAAAAAGATGGGGGGGAAAGAAGATTCTAAATCAGATAAACGTACATGATTCTGAAATTGTTCCCCATAAAATACATTAAACCTTTTTTTTACTTTTTTTTTTTAGTCATATACTGAAAGGTAATCTCTGTCCAAAACACAATAATCTAGAAGACTGCAAAAAGTCTTCCTACTGAATTTGTCAACAGTTAGGGTTTTTAATCACATTCTGAAGTAATCCATACGTAATGGGAATCGTGTTCTGAGCAGGGATTGGTCTGAGAAGACTGTCAAGTTTAACAAAAACAAAAAAAACTACATGCTTGAAGTTGCCATTTAATAAACAACTTTTTTGGGCCATTATTTTGTAAAGCTCAGCTTAGTGTAGCCAACAGCAGAAATGGTGCTCTGAACCATTCTGGCCTCTGATGTGCAGCCCTTCAGCTCCTTTGGGGGTTTATAGAGCTTTCTTTTTTAAACAACAGAAATAAAAGTGCGCAGAAATACCCTTACATTTCTTATATTCTTTTTAAAGAAAAGGGAAAAATGCAATTTAACTTAATTTTGCATCTACATTACAGGTTGAAGTTAGACTGCTGTAGCCTGGACTATTAGTTCAATTATACATGAGGGATACAGTCAAGTCAGCGCTTCTCATGTCGCTCAGGTGCTCAGACTAATCCAGCATCTTATGTAACAAAGTAAAGGAATCTATTAGTAGAAGCCAATAATAATCCATCAGTGAATCCCACTAAAAGCCTGATGTGGGGAGAAATGAGCGGTCGCATTACGGAGAAACAACGGGGCAGGGTGCCAACCGCTCAGTAAATGAATGAGACCGGCCAGCTTTGACGCCCGCTGCATGTCAGAAAGGGACTTCCTGTGTGGTGACGACTGCCCCCAGCTCGCTGCACAGAATGAATGGCCGTGGTTGTCGACTTTAAGTAATGAAAAAATTTATGGGGCGCATTAATTGGGGCTACGATTTATAATCAAATCTAACCTCACATATTTACGATAGGAGCTGTTACAGCTTGTGAGGGAGACTCGATAAACGGCAGTTAAATCTGGTACGCAGAGCAGCTGCGTAGAATTTAAGTCCGTACACTGAGAATGATGGTGGCACCGACATTTCTTTATTTTTCCTCTTCTTGGCCGTTCTTCCTTAAGTCTAATGCATTACGCAAGCCGAATGTGGCAGGCAGCCAGTACATCACAGAGACAGCATCTATATTACGGAAAGCTTTTAGAAGTGGTCATGGCCATCCTAGAGGGAAAGAGTAAGACTATTGATGGTTTTATCTGGGGCTCATTAAACTAAGAGCTGGGGCTGTGAAGGGGGAGGCGTCCTTGAAATGATCTTGAGACCACTGGCTAGATGAAGTTCCTGGAATTTTTACATTCAGCTCTTTGTAGGCGTGGACGCAACCGTCTGAAAACTGATGCATTTTACAAACACACTGTATGAGCAGAGTAACAATTTCAAACAATATCCCCCACTGAGCATGCAAATAAACCACAGGACATCATGACGTCCTCACCGTTGTTAGTATAAGTGATAAATGTCAGTAGCGGTAAACAGATCAAGAAAGGCAACAGCGTGTTAACACGGTAGCAAAGTGAGTGGGTTTAACAAGCTGAGGAGCCACATTTCAATGAACTTAACTTCTAAAGTCAACATAACACTTGTAAAGGACTCATACTCACATGTATAAAGGAGATGATGTCGCTTTCACAAGTTTATAATTGGTGGATTTAGTTGGAACGGTCAGGTGCTGTGTTATTTTTGGGGGGGGGGGGGTGAGCAGTAACAGCTGACCTGAGGTGAGCATCTTCCTCTTACCAAAATCACAAAATTAAGCCCCAACACTATTGAAAAGCACGAGAGCTTTAGAGGCTAAATTCAGAAGCCCACACCCAGAGCAGAGCAACCAAGAAAACAGTCGGAAAGGAGCTCAGAGAAATTTGGAAGGAGCGAACTTTGTCTTCGCCCAACAGCATGCAGGCATTTATGGAAACAGCATTCCCCACCCCACCCCAGAATCCAAAAACTCTCTGAGGGTAGCTGATCATCTATTTAGATAACAGACAAGCTGAGAGAAAAAAAAAAAGAAGGAAAAGCAGATAGAAGCCCAACAGATACATTTCAAAAGCAAGCTTAAAAAGCACCCGAGCACCACAGTTTATTGCTGCTCCCGATTGATCGCACCTCAGGCAGCTGGCTGCTGGTGCTGTCTGAGTGGGCCATCTCCAAACTGGGGCTATCCAGTCGGGGGAGAGAGGGCACAGAGGGCAGAGAGGGAAGGACGGTTGCCTCCTCGGTCATGGCACTGCTGGAGGACTCTTGAGACTGCTGCAGAGAGTCCACATGGTTGGACGCAGTGTCGTCTGTGGCCGAGTCACTGTTCAACTGGGGAAGAAAAACAAGGCAGCGCATCAATGTTTCTGCTTGTGCATGTTGAAAAAAACATCGTACCCAACTGAGACTGACAGTACTGGACTGACAGAGGACGGAATGAAACGCACTCCGGGAAATCCTACTAAAGCATGTTTGAGTTTACCTAATATAGAATTACTTCACTTTTGAGTACCAACATGTTTTTAAAGGAAATCATATTGGGCACACAGGACCTGGTCATTAGCTTAGAAGCATTTGGCCATTCCGTCTTTTTTTCTTACTTAATTCCCGACAGTTGTTTGAATCTCGGTAATGCAGAGCTACATAATTGATGCAAACTGCCGTGGTCGATCTTGTGCTGAACTATGTCAGCCATTTATCAAATAACAAACTTGGTTAATTTAGTCATTTTAGTTGAACATTCGTTTGATCCTGCACCTTAAAAAGCTTCAGGCTGGTGTCATCATGCTATTGGTGCTAGTTTTATTTACATGTCCATGTACAGATTTAATGTTCAGGTTATTTCAAATGTTCATGTAGCATGCTTGTCTTTATTTCCCCAGTTTAAGATACTGGATGACAAAAAACTAAATGCAAAAGCTCATTCTCTCACCGTGCACTAACTAGATCAAGAAGAGCAGAAGAGAAGGGAAAGGGTTGTCCCCATTAGACTGAGGAAGAGTGTATATCATTATGAGAAAGTTTGGGAAACCCATGGTTTGCAAAGCAAAAGAAAACAAAGGTGTTATAAAAAAGTCTCTAAACTGTTAGGAAAATTAACATGCAGAATTAGAATATTTTACAAACGTATAATACTATGTATATATGTCATACATTAATAAGATGTTTATTAATGTTCTGATTTCCAACAGATTTCAAACTGAAGGTTTAACACATTTCCCACACTATACCTACCCATCATCCCGCACATATAAATCTGTCTCCATGTCAATTCAGAGGATTACTCTAGAGATCAGAGGCGGAGGGATTGGGGCTGAGATTTGAAGGAAGGATCTACCACCAGCAAAGAAGCAGGCAGCAGGTGTGGCTCAGTATGCGGCGCGCACACACACACACGCACACCATGCTAGCAAGCTGTGCGCGGGGCACGGTGGGTTGGGTTGGGGACCCTGATTAGAGTGAGACTTACAAGGCCAGAGCGGGTGAGAATCTGGCTAGCACTCAGTACCTCCTCCTCAGATGATTCGTCAGTGTCCTCGTGGTTGGTGAGGTTGAGGCTCGGCGTGCTGCCCGTGTACTGGCACTCCTGCAGAGACGGCGTGTCCCCTTTGTCCATGCTCTCCAGGGACCGACGCCGCACCCCCCAGTTGAAGTTATCCATGCTCTCCCCCTGCAGGACGACCACGCCAACAGCAGTGAGACAACAAAAGTAGCGCGACGGAAGCAGGTCACACAAAAAATCAGCAAGCAAAGCACAAGACAGACATGACATACAACAACTTCACATAATGAAATAAACAGAAATAAAATGCAAAAGTAATCAAAATGTCACCGAGTGCTTTTTTTTTGCACATTTTGGGATGGTAATCATGCAAAACTCTAAACTTAAAACAGCAGGATACACAATCACAGTAACAATGGTTTTAAATCAAAGTGAAGTACTGCACTGAATTTTTTGACAAGACAGGGAGGCAGCAGGGAGATGGGGGAAAAAAAAAAAAAAAAAACTCCTGCCGTTTCTAATACATTTTCAGGCTCACAGACTTACCTGCAACTCCTTGTGGCAAAAGAGGAGAGGGAATATTTGTGTTAGTGGATTAAAACAATTCTGTAACAATCCTTTCTTTGCACTGGGGCAAAAGTGGCAAAAGGTGGATGAACAAAGACAGTGCTATAAATCTATCACACGGCTAACTGAAGGCTGGTCCAGAAGAACAGACCAGATCAGCTCTTTCGATTTTGGAAAAACTATATACAGATGTTAAATGTACAAAGACGGCGATGTGAGTAGTATCTCACTCATAATTAGGCTGCTTTCTAAAACAATTCTCACCTCGGCATCCTCCAACTCAACATCTAAGAAGTCAAAGTCCTTAAAGACACCAAACTGCTGTTCACTGCCCGTATCCTCGCCAGGAACCTCCTCCTCTCTGACCACCTCCTCCACTGTGGGAATAAGACTGGTCTGCTGGTCTGAGGAGTCCAGATCCTCATTGGATGAGAACACCACCTGGACAGAGGCAAGCTTTTGTCGTCAGGTAGCAAATCTGACCGCGTTCACGGAAAAAACGAGTCCCCCGAAAACAACAATGCCGAGGCAACGGTCTACAGCACTATTTCAGACAGCAAATTTACTGAGACCTTGTCTGAGGCCTTAGAGTAGGAGAGGAGTCTTACAGATGGGTTTTTGGGAATGCCAGACTCTGGGCCGCATAAAGACAGGACGTTCATCAGCCTCTCTCTGGTCCTCCTCTGTAACACAAACATGTGACAACAGGAGAGAAGTTACATCAGAGCAGATTAGTCTCAGAGGGCTGGCTCACAAATAAAAAAAAAGAAAAAGACTCTCCAGTTCACAAACACCACAGCGTGAGAAATGTGAAGTGAAACCCTTTGTGTCACATACCATATTTCACGGTTTAAATATTCAATGTTTAATGTTTCTGCTTTATTTTATTTATTATTTTTTAATTTTATATCTATATATATATATATTATGATTTTAAAAGGATGTCACATGTTGGATGCCCTGTGCCTATTTCAGAACGTACCTGAGAGAGTTGAGGCCTCTTCCAGCTTACTTGCACCAGCCCGTTGGAGTTAGAGCCAGAGGATGTAGAGGATGTACTCCGTGTTACGGCAATCACCTGCGGCTTTCCATTTCGACCTGCTACAGTCCGCTGGTCCCCGTATTTATGCCCTATAATCGGCGTCTATGGAGCCACATCGGAGGAATAAGATACAGAGCATATCCTGAACATGAGAGCAGTGAGTGACCGTTTCCCTCTCTCTGACCTCTGAGATGTCAAAATGGAAGTCCAGAGTTTTTCCGGGCAGCTCCTTGGAAGAGTTGTTGAAAATGCGCGTGAAAGCGATTTCTGGAGAGCCGCAAGATTCTGTGCTGTAAGAGCGCTGGACATCGTCTGGAACGACAAGGCTGGCCGAACGAGACACCACCAGCTTCAATATGTTTTGAGCCTCCTTCCAGTGTGGGCTCTGTCAAAAAAGACAGACACAAAGAATTCACAGTGATTTAAAAGCTTTTTTCTTGATATTCTGAAAATGGCACAGACACATGTCCCTTCAAAGGGGTAAACATGCCCCCTCCAAAGACAGGAGCAGATCCTGCCAGCGAAGCCATTTATATTTCATTTCACTACCGCAGTGTTGTGGCACCCTAAAAGGAGGTCAATCCGTGCCATTGCACATGAACAGGCAAACTGTATATGCACAAGTACAATGCCTTACACAAAAGCAACACAAATAGTAACCTAGATTGGAACAGGCTTTGGGCAGAAGGGGCATTACCGCCATCATAGTGCCCCGAGTCTGGGCTCTTAAAAGGCTTCCATACCTATTAAAAAAAACTACAGCTAAAGCTTAAAAAAAGGGGTAACAAAAGAAAACACAAATAAATATACCGTAATTCTTGACTTTGAACCGGAAATTTTCCCATACACTTCGAAGACTGTGGCAAATACATTTATTGACTTTAAAAAAACTTAATGCCACTAATAATTTTAGCCTCTTAAAAAAACAAACAAAGAAAAAACACTATCATCATGGGTAAAAACTGGACTGTAGCTGGATGAAGATGATCGCTCACTCCAGTGAGCTGAGTATTACTGGTATGTATTTAATTAAAGTTAAAACCAGCTGTGTTAAAGGCAGTTTGGAAAAAAGTATCCATGATATATATATGTCTTTGTTAATATGCGCATTTAACTAAAAGTCTTCAAGTGCAAAATCTTTCTGTGTAAATATATAATATTCCAATGTAATCTCTATATGTAGAAAATAGATTTCCTTTCTAAAATGATGCGTCTTATATTCTGGTGCACTCTACAGCCTCAGATTTACAGTATATAGGTTTACCTGCTTACATGCAACTATGGAATTTGAAAAACCACAAACAACAGAGACACCACTTTCATTTGTGCGAAGGCTTACCTGGACATATTTACCAATGATCTTCATGATCTCGAGGTTGAACTGTTTAACGGGAGCTGCTGAGAGGTCAATATGACTCAGCAAGCTGTATATGATCTGCAGTAGGTACTGCTGCATACCAGGGAGGCCCTTCTCCAGCAGCTGAGTGGGGGGGGGGGTGAAAATCAAGAAGGGTCAACAACATCAGTTTCTGCAATTCGAGACCAGTGGTCTACATATTGGAGTGTCGCGCCACGTACCTCGGCCAGGTAAGTGACCAGGTTCAAGGTTCGGTCGGCGAAGGCATCGTGGAGGTAACGGCAGACCACGTTGATCCAGTTGTTGCAGTCGCGGGAGTAGCTGTGCGTGCTGTACAGGCTCATCATGTGGGCCAGGTTGGAGAGCGTAGCCGACTTCTCGTCGGCGCACACCTTCGCGATCCTATCGGCCGTCTCCTTGCAGAAAGGCGTGGGGCTGTCAAAGTGCTGAATGAGGTGTGGCAGGAGGCACAGGATATTCAAGGGAAACCCTGAGAGCCCAAGCGAGAAAAAAAAATTAATAAAAGAGAACAGATGACAGGATTACGCAGAGCTCTCAAAGTTTTTTTTTTTTTTTTCATAGCGGTGGTGTCTATTACATTTACCTGCCACTTGTGAAGGATCTACCAGTGTGTGTCTGGACACGCTGATGAGCTTGCTGAGCAGGTGGATGGTGAGCTCCTGTGTGGAAGCAGAGGTGAAGCCCTTGAGGAACAGCTGCAGCAGACCAGGGAAGTTGTACCACTTCAGCTTGGCCTGCACGTTCTCCAGACGTTCCCGGCTGTCTGCTCGGTCCAGAGGCAGCTGGCCCAGCAGTTTGTTGAGCAGCCGCAGGGCCAGTAGGTACTCGAACTCGTAGTCGGATTCGAGCAGAGAGGCGGCGATCCAGAAGACGGTGGCCATCAGATTTGACGGATCCACGGGTGGGATGGGGCCCCCTCCTGGATTCCCTCCCCCACCTAGTGCTGATAAGCTCCGCGTGCGGGCCAGGTTCCCGTGGCTACCCCCTAATCGGTCTGAAATGTCCAGGGTGTTACTCCTCCGTCTGTCGGCTTTCCGCTCGCCAATCTGGCTGGCCCGAAGAGAGTTGCTGCGGGTGTGAACGTAATGAAACAAGCTACTGTTGTGGAGATTGAGCTGGCCAGTGCTCTTCCTGTTGGCCGCAAGCTTCACCCCAAGCAGGTGGTCACGAGTTGAGCTTCTGTAAATGGAAGAAGAAAAAAAATTCAATTACATTTAAAAAAAAAAAGCATTTTTCCAGTAACTTCAAGATCAAAAGTAAGGGAGAGTTGAAAGTGAAAACACAAGTGAAGAGGACCTACTGTGCTAAGGCGGTGAGGAGGTCGTAATTTTTGACAGTGTCTGCTAATGTATCGATACCCGACTCTAATGTCAGCAGCAGCTCGATCACAAAGCCCTGAAGAGAGGAGAAAAAGAGAACAGAAGTCAGCTTGTGTGATATGATTGGGCAAAATGCTGAATAACAAGCTGTGTCATGTTTTTTTTGCGATAATAAATGGTCTGGTATAGATCCTGTATGTGATCAGCTTCATTTTGACAGTTAATGTTATGGTTTGAATCAAGCCGTTTATTCTTAAGCTTAATTAAGATCTCTGTGATCTCAAAATGTAATTCTTTATATAAACCATCGGTATCATAATCATAGTAGAATGGTTCTCTGACTGCAAACAAATATGTTTTCTAGTCTTATAATGCCTGCTTTGATTACTTATCTATTGCTGGCGGTGGGAAAATATGGTCAATATTTAGCAGATGTCTTGTTATTACCAAAGGGAAGCTGAACATATAGAATGTTACTCGTGTTGAACTCCAAGTCTTCTATGGTTCTGTACTATAAGCAATTAACCATTCCTAAATGTCTTCTTTAGAATCTGACAAGTAAAGCAGGTATGAATAATGCTGGTGGCTGAACGGTTCTGACCTGAGCCTCCTCCCCTGCGTCTCCTACTGTTTCCACGAGCCGAGACAGGATGTCGGACAGTGTTCCCGGAGTCAGAGATTGTTTAAGTGCCCTGAAAATCTGGAATGAGCGACCGGCATAGTGGCGGGAAGAGCAGGACAGGGCGGTTCTTAAAGCCACCTCACTCAGCAAAGACTCCAGCTCGAAACCTGAAGGAAGGCATGCATACATGGGGGTGAATAAAAACAAAACCAATAAAAAATGCACTCGCAACTAAAGCAAAACAGACAAGCTCTCAGACCTGTCGGGGAATGTTTGAAGACAGTCATCACGTGTCTCACGAAAACGCTCAGCTGGTCAGCGCTCTTAATGTTCGGATTCTTGGGCGACACGTCCTCGTGATTCCAAAGTGGGCCTCGTTTTCTGCGAGAATCAAGCACATTAGGGAGTGTGAAACATTACCTCTCTACAGGCCATTTAAGGTAATCACCACAGGCAAAAAAAATACAAATAAAAAATTACACTAACTCCATCATCAAAACCAAACCCATGCAGAGCCAAAATACCCACTCCTCTCAGACAGTGCTGGAAGCATGAAAGTAAATCATTGTACAGAATGATTAAAATGCCACGAGCGCATTGACACTGATGGTTCATACTGATGTGTACGACTCATGTGAGACTATACATATTAGTCTGTGACACAAGAAACTGGTAAATTAGTTACAACTGGTATTAATGCCATCATGTTTTCTATAAGAGTCTTCTTACCTTGATGTAATAAACTCTATGAGAGCTTTGGCCTTCTCATCCTGCTCGGCTGTGGCATCTACCTCGCTGAGGAGTGTGGGGGAGAGGTGGGACAGAGCGGTGCCCCCGGCTCCGAGACTTATGCTGGAGGATGTGGAGCTCGAGCTGAGGCCGGAGTCCGTCATCGGCGACGGCTGAAGATCTGGAAAAATCTCCTGCGTTCCTAACCATTGTAACAAGCATTGAACACACCAATAAGATATCTGTGCATCTTTCAGCCACTTTAATCGCAAATGGTAGCTTAAGTGACTAAAATGTGTTTTTGAGAAAACTGCTGCTGCCACCTCATGACTAACTCTGGAACTACAAACTGAGAACGTGCCTCATACCTTCCAGGGTAATTGAAAGACTGGCAGTAAATCAGTCAACATTCTTTTAGTTAAATATGGATCGTTCTATTCTCTCCGATCACTTTTCTTGCTTGGCAGCACAACCCACCTGTGAGGTTGAACTCCGGAGCTGCTGGCTTCACAGTCAGAACCCTTGGATCATTGTAGTCTCGGTTGCGTAAAAGCACCATTGCGACAGACTGGACGTTGCTATTTGCACCCTGGACAATCAGCAGATGAAGCAGCAGGCGTTTGCAGTGCTCGTACACCTCTGGGTGCTGGTGATCAAAACCTGGGGGAGAGACGCAATGAAAGTAGTAGGGGTGCTTCAACAACTAATGGCAGATTTTAAAATAATGCAAAACAGATCATGTTAAATTATTCAGGTTAATCATACAGGGGGCCTTTTGTGTGTGTGTGTTAGGTGTCCAAACACCGCAAACAGACAGCAAGTTACCTATAAACACAGCATGCAGCAAGAGGTGCAGGTAGGCACTCCACTCTACTTTGACCCCGTGGTCCACAATAAGGTCAGTTAGTAAAATGACCGCAATGTTGCATCTGAAAAACAGAAGATTTATGTTGACTTAGCAGCAGAACTTTTTTTTTTCTACCCTGACAGAAAGAAATGATTACTTACCTGTGGAGGGGCACAGCAGGTGTGTTTGTCTCTGGTAAATAGTCCACTAGAGGAGACCAGCAGCCACCTGATGGAGGCAGGGGGAGAGGCTCCGGCTGGTTGTGATCCATCACTTTCAAACGCCAGTTGGCATAGAGTGGCATAGAGTCACCTGAATAGAAAAGATAGAAGAAATGCTGTCACGTGGCAAGATAGAATTCCGTGTCGTGGATGAGCAGAGATTGTCTGCCTACACTTCTCGTCTTCATAGGAGCCTCCGGAGCTGCTGCTGTAGCGGGACTCCAGACGGTGGTGCTGGCGGTTCAGGTTGCTGTTCAAACCACTGTAGATATCCAAGTGGGTGTAACTGCGTGGGCAAGACGTGCTTAGTTTATAAAGAGATGGGTAGACAGTGAGATTTTTTTTATTTTTATCCAATAACTCTTAAAACTTAAACTTCTAACAACTTGTACGCAATGCAGCAATATATCTCAACGGCAAACGCTGTCCTTAGTTTTGATAAGGATTTTTATTTTATTTTCATTTTGCCTTTATAAGATAGATGCGATGAAAACATCCTAAAAATACATTAAGGTTGTTGAAACATAACCATTCATACCATCACTTTCCAATGTGAATGCCTTCATTCTATTTTTTTTAAAGCTATAGCTGCATCCGAAAGGTAGCTACACTACAACACACTGATTAGTTGAGTTACGTTTTATAGAATGCTTATTTCAATTTATTAAACACATGACGGTGTTTGTGAAAAATAAAATGGGTTCAGTTAAAAAACACAAATAAATGTACTGTGAATTCCTGACTATGGGCTGGGACTTTTTCCCTATCCTTTAAACACTGTGTGATACTTTTATTGAGTTTAAAAAGCTTCATGCCACTGAAGAACTTTCCTGGTTTTAGGGCGGGGGGGGGGGGGGGGACACCATCACTTTCTGACAACACTAAGGCCAAACTCATAAGGGAAAGAGGCCCAGTTAACCTTTAAAAGTTTGCTTGAAATGAGCCTGTATGAAAACACAGCCTGTCAGACTGGATACAAAAGCTGTACCTGTCTTCCATGTTAGAGTCTTTGATCTTGCCGTCGTGATGACCTTCGTTTCCTGGCACCATGGTATTGCTGCTGGATGTTGTTCCTGAGGAAGCACACATGAGACACACCGTCTGGCATTGGAAACGCTCTATTCAGGGTTGGAACGACCACGTTAGCAGTGAGCTATTGCACAGTTGCAGCTGCTTATTAACCTGAGGTGACTGAGGGGATCTTGTAACTGGAGGTGATGCGGTAATAAGGGGGGTTGTCCATGTGGGTGACTGCGGAGCTGACCGGATCGGTCAACTCAAGCTCGCACATCAACTCCTCCAGCAGCTGCATAGTCTTATCTCTGCCCAGGTAAACCACTACTCGTTTCACCTGGACGCACACATGCAACATAAGGAATAAGAGGCACATACAGGACGTAACATAAACGCTAAGAGGTCAATCCAATGTGACTTACGTAGGGCAAGAGGCTGGGGTCACTGTTGACCCCCGACATACTGATGAGAAAGTGCAGAATAATTCTGAGGTTCTTTGGCCAACTGTCTGCTAATGTCGTCCATACATTCTCGATTTCTGACCAAGCAAACTCGTCCCCGTACTGTAAAGGCAAAAAATGATAATTTAGTGATTAATCCATGAGCTCTTTCAGTGTTCCTAAATCAAAGGTTGTGCGGGGGCTGCCTCACCTTCGCGGTCATAAACATGAGGTTGTTAAGCACCATGGATGTTGCCCGCAGGGATCCCCAGCCCTCTCCACGGAGCCAGCGGCGACTGTTGACCATCATAATCTCCCGGTCATGGACGTCCTCCTCCTCTTCGCCGCTGCCGCCATCCTCTGGCCGCCGCACGCTTGGCTTGAAGTCGACCAGCTCCACGTTGTTCATCCAAGGTAGGAGGTAGTGCAGCATTACCTGACGACCACCAGGATGTGCTGTCTGGATACGCTGGCTCACCTCTGCAGCGCAGACGCAGGCAAGGAAGATAACATTTAGATGGGTTGAAAAAAAAACTGGAGCTTAACATGCCAATAGAAACATTTTTGCTTTCCTCATTCCCAGATACAGTAACTGGTTGTAACTTATTCAGGACAATATACCATCCTGATACCAATTCTAAACAAACAGAAAAGTAGAAAACCTGAGAAGATGGGCAGCGTGAGCTCTGGATAAGTCCTTGCTAGCTCCTCGGACAACTGGTAGTAAGACACGGAGTACAGATGTGGCAGCGGCGAGGGGGGAGTCAAGATACCATCTGTTCGCTGGATCTCCAGTTTGTGGGCATAACGGAAGAGCTTTGGCTCTAGGATCTGTTTCGCAAGAACAACAGTCAGGGTTCCGGAATAGCCTTGGTGTTAGCGTAAAGCTACTTTCCATGTGAGACAGACCGACCTGTAACAGCTGCATGGCCGCCTCATAGATGTCCCGAGAAGAATCGGCTGCTTTGAACAGAATCAGGTTCAGCAGCACCACAGTGTCAAACTGATAATCCCTGAAAGAAAAATAATATGCACGCCGAAGATATTTTAACTAGGAGTTGGTAACTCCAAAATAAATTGATCTCAAGTTGAAGTTGGCCATATCGTCGCTCTACCTGTTGTGAAAGACGTTGGCGATGGCCCTGAAGCAGCCGGCAGCCACGCGGCGGGATCCTGTGTAGCAGCGGTCCACAGCCCAAAACATGAGGTTATTCTGCTCTGGATTCAGCTCCAGCAGCAGCATTACAGCCTCACAACCCAGCTGGTGAACCTACGGCACATCACGCAGCAAATATTACAACTGTTCGGAAAATAATCCATGTGGGCACACATTTCAATACACGGCTTCAAGTGTGGTGACAATGCGGTCAGTGGACAAAAGGCTTAGTAAAAGCTTCAGGAAAAGTGGTACATAGGCAAAAAATATTCACTACCTTTTTGTCCTGCGAATCCAGGATGTTATCCAGCCACTTATAGAGGTAGCCGTCAGAGGAAAGGCCAACATTGTCCGCTACAGGCCCACAACATAACACAGCAGACATGGCCTGAAAAGGTTTTTAAAAAGCTCTTAGTCATCTGTTATTGGAGGTGATGATAAACACAGAACGACTGCACCATAGCACATGGCCGAGTCTACCTTTAGCGCACAGTACTGATGGCGGTTGATCTGCATATTTCGGTCACTATAGCGATCCAGAGGCGTGAACATGATGCTGAAAGGCCCGGCCCAGTGACTAAATAGCATGAAGAGACTGTGTCTTAGTGACTGCTGGGGGAAGATGCTCCTCCTCTGATGAACTGAAAACAATGAAACAGTTTAAGATATTGATACATTCCTTTAAACTTAAGTGGAGAGTGAGGGTGACTTATATAAAGAGTCATACCTGGAACGTTCTGAATGATATTAGCCACAAGCGCACTGAAATGACAGCGGATGTCTTTCAGTGTGTCGGAGTCTTTGTCGTTTTCCGCCTCAAGCAGCTGCCTGGTCAGGTCAACGTATTCGAGAAGTGTACTGTTCAAAGAATGGCTCTCGCCATCTAACCCACCACTGGCACTGCAAAGAGGAAAGGTCGGGCTTAAATACTCTTAAATACTTTCGTCAAAGGCTAGTTTTGTCTTTGTGTCTGTGGACAACGTACATCTGGCTGATGACCCCAGCATCAGCGAGAAGCTCGAATATCCGGACCAGCTGGACCCTGAGGATGTCCCGACGCCTGCGTCGCTTCATGTTCTATTTGAAAATTGTTTTTAAAAAATGTGAAAAATAAGAAGAATACAAAACTTTTTCATTCAATCAAAATGAGAGTTCTCAACAGACAGCACTTACTTCAGGCCTTCTTTCAAGAGCTTCTTTTATAATTGGGTTTAGCTCTTCGATCAACTCTCTGAAAGCATTACACATAAAAGGTGTTTGTGAGAAGAAAAGGGAAACAAAATTAAGTCCAATCAAAATTCACGTAATATAAAATGTGTGGGGGAATACTGAACGGTGCTTACCTGAAGGCCACGGGGTTGGTCCTGCCAAGCCCCAATACAAGAGACTCTGTGATGTCCATACTTTCGGAGCGCATCATTGGTACAATGTGTTTGAACAGGGAGGAGGGGGACGGAGTTCCAACGATCTAATGACATACACGATACCTTAAGGTCAATATACTGATACTGCACAGTCACAAACCTCAGGAGTGGGTGGAAACAGCACGTCAGGCCCGTTTCTCACCTTTGAATCATAACTGTAGCCGCTGTCCGGCGTGGACGCCAGCGTCTCAGGCGGGGAGCAGCGGACGGAGCCGGAGGTGGAGGATGAGGAACACATGGAGGGCGATGAAGAGGCGGAGCTGCAGCAGAGAATCAAGTAGTTTCTCCAAAGGCCGACGTAGGAGTCGCTGCTGTTGAGACTGTTCACTTTTTTTGTGTTGATGGGACTACTACAGGTGGGGACAGAAGAGGGAGGATGAGTGACACGGTGACGGAAATCTGCAAGAGCAGGAAACGCAATCCATGCGGAAAGAGAGTTTTAATTAAACATACTTTATGTCGACTTGTGGAGACAGCAGCTGCAGGCGGGTGTAGGCAAACATCCAGGCATAGTTGAGGGTAGTGGGGCAATGTTTGGGAAGGTTCTCCAACCGCAGGAAGCTGGAGAAGCTGATGACCCAGGGGTCCTGACCCTGAGTAACATGGGCAAACACCCAGATGTGTGAGGGGCTCACCACATCAAACTGGTGGCTGATGGGAGATGAACTCCACTCTGCTAGAGTCTGAAGATCAATCCCACTGGGACAGTACAGCAGGTTGGTCTAAAGAAAAAGGGAAAAACAAGAAGATGAGCCACATCACAGAATGAGTTTAGTTTAGTTTTTTGGAGGGGGGCAACAGAAAAGACATCAATACCGGGTCAGCTCCAGTGAGATGAATAAAGCTCTCCAACACCGATGCGCTTAATCTATCCATTACATCAATTGCCAGTTCTTCATCCCCCTGAAAGATTGAGAAAGAACAAAAATCACCAAACAGGACCAGAAGATAACATTTCAGGGGACTAATTACTATCTGACAGTAATTTACCAGTAATGAAAGACAAAAACTACCTTTCCAATTCCCAAAGCAGTATGCAATGCACGGACTTCCTTGAGGACGTTCACAGCCAGCCTGCGCGTGGCAGGGCGGCAGCTGCAGAGCACAACCAGTGCCAAGCCCTCCACCACATGGAGCACCCCCAGTGGGAGAGTACGCTCCAGGGACAGAGAACGGCCGCTGCCCGAGCCCTGTATACAAAAATAAAAATGCAGTTGAAATCCATCATTTGTAGCACTGTTGTCTCTTAGAACGTGACACAAACGCAAACTGCAGCGATGTCCACAAACCAACCTGTGCCTCTTGGCTCTTATTGCTGCTCTGCACCGCCTGCCTCCATTGGCTGATGAGCTGCAGGAGCATCTTCACGGCGTTGTCCAGCAGTGTGGGGTGGACGTCGGTTACCTCTCTGACTATGAAGTACACGAAGCCCGAGAGGACGTCCTCGCGCCACTCTGGGAAATCCACCATCAGTGCCTGAAGAGTTGTAAAGGCAAGGCCACGCAGCTCCTCATCCATGTGGATGGTCAATCTAAAAGAGGACCAGAAGCCATCAGACAGGCAAAGAGCATGCAGGGTGAAAACAAGTCTCTCCAGTCAGGTTATTACTTGGCTAGAAGCTCTATTAGGTCTTGTCTGCTCATTCCATCTGGTATCAGTCTTGGGATGGCGGCCACGCATGTTCGGAACAGATCGATCTTTGGCTTCCTCTCTCCCCTGCAGGGTGATTAAAGAGAGCTGTGTGAGACACACACACACACACACAAACACACACAGCGACACGTGCACAGGAGGAACTGCGTTTACATACGTGATCATGTCCTCAGGCTCCTTGTTGGACATCTGTACGTTGGTCATGCTCATGGACCGGCCCACTTCCTTGTCTAGGTGGCGCAAGATGTTATCCAAGGCCTTTCTCACTTGGGGGTAGTACAGTGACATGCCTGGAAGCGGCCAGGTAGTTATTACATTTAAATGTCCCTCTTCATCGAACATTACGTGTCTAGTCTAATTGTCAGACATACCGATGACTTTTGCCTCTTCGTCGGTGAGGGTGGTGTTGAGGAAGATCTTTTTTACACGGAGAGTGTTCCCAGACGGCATGATGATGCCTGTGGTAGGCATTGGTGGCTCTCCATCTTTCTGCTGTAGGCTGTCGGCGATCACCAAAAAGGCCCGCAAACCTATATTCATCCTCTGGCGGGACAGAAAGGTGGCGAGGATGAGAAAAAAACACACCGAAATCCCTAACTGACTTAAATTGTATCTGCTGTCTTGCCTCTGGGTTGATGGTGAAGGTTTTGTGAGATTTTCCCACGCACAGAAGGTCATAGATGATCTCCTTCATGGCGAAATCCAGTCTTTCCTGTGGAAACCAACAGAAAGGCAATCACTCAGCCACGGTCGTGCTCCATGTGCTGTGTCCGGCTGTGTCTCATTAGTAGAAAATCCAGATGAGTCACAGAACGAGCTCAAAGCTTACCTGGGCTATGAACTGGATGATCTTGACAAAGATGTTGAGGGGTGTGTCTCTTGGCACCACACTCCGCGAGCCTTTGGGGAAAAGTGCTGACACAATGCTGAGCAGTCGACTAGAATGAAAAAGGGACGCCGCATAAGAATGGGAGCACTGAATGACACTAGCCATTTGGAAAAGGACTCGCTCTTGATGGGTATGGGTTGCAAAGGGATTGATCGTGTGGGAGCAGCATTGGAAGACAGGTGGGGGGGGGGGGCGGAATTTAGCTGGCTCTGCAACTGACCTCTGCGTGACGGTGTTACTCTCACACTTTATCCTAATTATGTAGACCCACAGCAGCCTGTAGAGCGACTCCAAGGCAACACGGGACATTTTGGGGTCTTTATTCTGTGGTTGTGAAGAACAAAACAAAAACGGGAAACTGTGAGCATCTTATTCAACAGTAATAATTTCATAACCTCACCTGCTATACCTGCTCTCTGGAGAAACGGAACAACTGCATAGTACAGAAATTATGAGAGTATAGAGAAATGTCTTAATACTACAAAAGACCACATTGTTAATGACCATGATTAGCATGAAAAGTTTAGGACAAACTTGTTAAAACAAAACATCATGTAGCAGATAAAGCAATGACAGCTTTCATAAATGTGAAGAAAACCAAGCCAGTTAATAAAATGCACTTATTTAATATCCGTGTACAATTTTACAACCACTACGGCCCATAGTAACCCACAATTTTGTCAATTTTACACCCATTTACAAACCAACTGATTTATCTGTGACGACATGCATATTACACAGTGAAGTAAAAGCTTCAAATGAAGTCAGGGTATCAGGGATTGTCCAACCGTTTGTTTCAGCTTTGTGGCCAGATGATGTTTTCCCCAAATGTAGTTATTACGCTTCTCTTCCACCCTGTTTTGTGCCTGAAAGTGCAATGAACCTGCTCTATCTTAGACCATTTTGACAGCCAGGCAAATGTCCGTGTGGAAAGCAAAATTATTTTTCAAATTGTGTCTTCCAAAACTGGTCATTTTTGATGCCAGACTTCAGTCGGTATTTTAAAGTCATAGTCTTTACAATGTTCCACCATTTTGTCCATGGTTAAAAGCAGTGATGTCATATCTGTGTGTAAATGGGACGTGAAGAAAAGCTAAATTAAAAACAGCGAGCCAGAAATCTGGTTGTATATTCCAAATTTCAATGTACTACCCAGCAATTCGCACACTAGAAAATGTAGCTTATAAAGTAAGGATAACGCATTATTTATTCCAATTGACAAATACTACAATAATGAGAAATAAATGATTTAATTTAGCTTCCCCTGAATGCTTCAATTGACTAAAACCTTCCAAATTAAAATGATGTGTCTACAACTCACTGAAGGCAAACCTAGAGGACCCAGGTCAGTTCATTTTCATGCTTCACAAAATTTGAACTGACCATTAAAACATATATTTCTCTCACTGCAGTTTTAGGTAGTTCTTTCCATGCTTTGTATCCCCAATAAACACACACATCTTTAAAAATAATATAAACTTCTCACAAGACAGAAGTCAAACCATGGACACAATCCAACTTTCAACCACAAAACCTTAAGCTAAATCACAAGTTGTGAGTTGTCCATGTAATTTGCTGCTCACCGCTGAGCAACCCTTTAATTTCAGGTCACAAACAGATTGTCAAGCGAAGGGAAATGAACTGCGCCACATCCCGAGTGGGCCTGGACCACTGCAACGGAAAGAGGCTGCTCGCTGACACCAGATAACTCACCTGCAGTGTCTCAATCTGCTTTCGGATGCTGTTGTTAGACGGCATCTGGAGCGAGTCAACGTGAGGAAGGAAAAAAAAAAAAGAAAGAAAAAAGAAAAAAAAAGATCAAATGATAGGAGACAAAGAATGAAGGGTTTGGGGGGGACACATGCAAGTTATGAACAAAAACAGACAACAATTATGACAAACAAAGTAAAAAACTAGCTTTGCATTAAAAAAAACATCTGAGATGAACGAACTGTTAAATGTGCCGCTTTATGGATGAGCCGCATGCTAGTAGAGCAAAACAACAGTCCGTTCGGGTCTAATGTCAATGCATTTTCCACACGAGGAGAAAATGATTCATGTCAATGTGCTTAAGCAGACTAAAAAAAAAAAAGGTGTGCTGTGGTTTGGAAATCAGACAATCAGACACATAAAAACACAGAGGATGGATTTTTAGAGGAAAAGAAAGATGGGAGGAAGCAAAAAAGAAAAAAGACAACACAATGTTGCCTGTCTCATCTAAGATGCCGACAAACAGCCACACCCAAGTAAGCAGATCATTCAAGATCAGTGTCTGACACCTTCACAGTGCGAAGTGGTCGCTTTAAATCACGCTGGAATCACAATTTCATTTATGGCATAAATCAGACTGCATTCTAAACAATATGGATTTTTTTTCCCACTGTAAACTCTAACAGTTGCATGCAGATGAATAATGATTAAAGGAATTAAACTGACAATTATGAAAGTGGCCTTTATGTGAATAATCATCACTAAATACTTACTGTCCAATGTTTGTACAATAAATATTCGGCCACTTGTTAAGAATAAGCGCACCCATAAGTTTGAAAAAAATCATTAAATCAACCCCCACCAAATCCCAAAGAATTAATTAAATCAAATAAATCAACACAAAAGGACTGATTCAACATGGTGAAAAAGAATTCTGGGATGACACTATTGAAGAGACGAATGGCAAAAAGCAGTGAAATTCATCCACCACAGGAACACAGTGACTACAAGAGGTGATCGGTGTAGGATGGAAAAGTCACGCACTGAGACGGTCGGTGAGTTTGAGATTTGTTCAATCACCCTCTGGATTCAATGATCAAGAAATAAGAACGGGGGGAAAAGGGCTTATTTTGTTTGGAATTTGTTTTCAAGGAGTCAGTTACCGAACTGAAGTAAAACAGCACTTGAGATGTCATCGTAGGTTTGGCTTAGTATAATTTAAGAAGTTGAGCTTAGGAAATGTTAGTAATGGCTAATATGCCTGCATTTTGAGGCTTTAATAAAGTGTTGTTAAATCAAGTGCTATTCCTCTTCAGATCTGGTTTGTTGCTAATGGAAGGGTAAGGACATTATGATATTCAGACAAACACAATGCACACCCTTAAAAAACATGTTGTTTTCCTTTTGGTACAATTCAAAGTTCATGGTTTCCCATGTTGAAAGTGATTAAATGATAAAGTTAGCCTACAGGGTCACTTGTTATTACCCTCTTAAAATAAAATATTTTGATCTCCTAACGTGGGTCATGAGACCAACTGAATTAGACTTGAAGCCTGGCAAGAATACGGTCATTGTTCTACTCTTTAAAGCTGTGGAGTTCTTTCTGTCTGAGATGAGCTGGCATGAAAGTTGTGGGAGGAAATACCTTTAGGTGCGAGAGGCAGTTCTGTAAGAAGATGTGCCAGTTGTTCAGAAAGAACTGCTTCTGACTGACGCACAGCAAACACGTCACCAGGGGATAGAGGGCCTGCGGAGGGGGAGGGAAAATGTCAGTGGGGTCGCCCGACTCTTTTTGAGATTTTAGCATTGGGGAAAAAAATCTCCCTAGAGATTTGTCGAGTTTGCAAGTTACCAAAGAGTGCTTCTTTCTGGAACTAAGGTCGAACGTCGTCTGGTACAGCATCTCCACAAATGTTTTTAGGCACGGCACGTTGACTTCATTTTTCACCGCCTGAGATTGAAGGAAAAATGAATCAGAACAAGACTGAAAAATGACTTTACTTTGGGTGTACAGGGAACGGTGGAACTCACGGCTGCGACAGGAATGAGGATCTCAACGAAAAGGCCAGCGAGAGCGTGTTTTATGTCCTTATCCTTGACTTCTAGGAAATACTGGGCACACTCCTGAGAACAGACATCAAAGACATTGATGTCAGGAAAAAGTAGGATGCAAACAACAACTTAACTCTGACTTTGTGGTTTTCACATGCTCTGAAAAAGATTTGGTGCTTTGTTAAATTTGTGGGGAATGACTAAGTTTTGTGTGTGGAGAAAAAAAGAAAGCCTATTTTAGAATGTACAAATCGCTTCAAATGTGCACATCACATGAGAAGAAGAGTTAGTTGTATCAAAGTGCATTAACATAACTGTGGAAGCGAAAACTGCTGTCACGTTTCCCACTATTGAGTTATTTTCCCCCCTTCAAAGATGAGCTAATCTAACTTGGATTCGTTCATAGAAAAATGTAAATGATTTAACATGATCATTTGAAATGCATCTCAATGTGCTTTAAATTACAAATTTAAAAAATCGATTGCTCTATTGGTAGTTTTTAAGATTCAAGTTAAAGTTAGATGTGGAGTTGGCATTTTTGGGAAAGGGTTTGAAACAGTTTAGCAAACGCACTCAAGTAAATACGCAATGATATGACAATATCTTACCTGCATGAACTGAAAGGATGCTTCAAAATCCTCCACAGGATACATTTTGACCCGGAAGAACTTCATGCCCATGATGAGACTGATGATGCTTTGGACTACGTAAGGACTCTGCTCTTTTTGCCTGAGTTCTTTAAGCTCTGTGATGAACTTCTTCCTCACTGCCTGAAACCTGAGGAGACACACACCCAAACACACACATTTAACAACAACAAAAAATTTAAAAGAAACTGTGAAGGGAGAGGTTTTTTAAGAGGAAGATGTGCTAAACAACAAGGTCAATGGCAAAGCTGTAGGGCACTTTTAGGCTACTCACTTTGACTGAGTAAGAACTCCTATGACCTCAGCATACAGGTCTGCGATGATGTGCACGTTGCCAGTGTTGGGGCCACAGTACCTGCAAATGATGAAATGCTGCTTAAAGTAACCCACAAACCATTAGCAAGAGGTGATGGCTGATTTGTGCTGCTCACTAAGAAGCTCGTGGGCCTCTATTAATGAAAAAGAGTGACATGACAATGACTCCAGGACAAGTTTACTCAAATAAACATTAGAAAATGATAAGTGAGAATATAGCAATGGACTTTGCATGTCTGTTGTGTCATTGGTCCATTTGGATTCTGAAACTAACTTACCCTTCTTTGTGTTTAAAGTGCTTGAATGCCAGGTTTAGAACTTCGTGTACCAACACATCTGGCACTGGGTGAAGAGGAATCTGTGACGCAAAGATGGAATCATTCGTCTCATCTGAAGCATTGATAGTACTTGTTCTTTATCTTTTGCCGCCATTCATTATCCTCCCTGCAGGAGCAAAGCCAAGGACAAGCACAGCTCTGGCCTCCGGGGATTGGCTCTTACCTCTGAGTCGTGCTTGGACTTAGTCAATTTACTTTAGAAACATACTCAGATGGGGGTTGGTATTTTGCCACATCATTTACTCTATTCCTCTGAAGGAGAAGTCAATCTATCAACTGGAGTTATTGGGTGTATTGTAGGACAAAAAAAATAAATAAAATAACTAAAAAACCCACCCAAAGAGTATACATTTCTAAAAGACTATTTAGTCAGATCGGTTTAAAGAAACAGCGTTCCCAACTGTTGTTAATGATAAGGTGGTAGTTCATTTATTGGGTAATCTAAGATGACACAAACTTAAACATTCTACTAAGTAAAATTATGCCTAACCCTAACGTAAAGGACATAACTGCAGTGCAAAATAATAGCTTTTTAACCCACATAGATACCAATAATGCCTGGGTGAGAATATTGTAAAAACACACAAAGTGAATAACTGCACACCTGGATAAGACGTGTAAACATTCATTCGATAAGGTGCCCCACATTTCCTCTTTATAGGCATTATGAATCATTATTCAGAAGAGGTCAGAGCATAAAGGGTCCGGTCGCTCACCTGTTTCAGAACTTCCACTGAAACTAAACAAAAAATAAAGTCTATGGCTAAGTCCCGCCGCTCCAGAAGGTAATCTTTGTCCCGGTGCTGTTCGTCCCTGCAAACAAATTAAAACATGCAAGTTAAAACCAACTTCACACAAACAGAAGTACACAATAAAAGTATCGACGGACGGGCAATAATCGATTTGGTGGGGGGTGAGAAAGAGAGCCATCTCACCCTTTAGACTTTGTACTGGAGCGAGGCCTGTACTCGTAGGACTCGTCCTCAGTGCCACTCTGCCGCCGGTACCAGTCAAACAGTGTGCGCAGTAGGGAGGGCAAACAGTGTTCTGCTATTGAGCTCATGGAGCTTATTAACTGTAACACAACAACGAGACACTTCAGACGTCTTGCTTCTGCAGCCCAGACCACAGAACAAAAATCAGCATTTTCATATTTCAGCATTTTCATAAAACGGAAAGGTGGACTGACAATGCAAGGAAAAAGTAGCCTTTGGTGTAGTGTCGCACCAATACCCTCTGTTGATTTTGATGGTAATTTGAAAGATCGCGCAGGATGTTAAGATTAGCACAAACGCAACCCTAAAAACACAACTGAGAGGCTTCACCGTGCAGAGGCCTCCACAGGGTTAATATGCAAGCCTGCAATAATAAAAGACTGTCCCTCCAAACCGCTCATCAGCACTTTGACCGCATCAGTGATGATGAAAGCTGGTACCTTTCCTCTGCTTTAACAAATCTGCTGTTACCGATGCTTTATAATGATAAAGGTTTGGAAACGTATGCTTGGGAAACGGTCAATCTTTTCACCCGGAGGCATGAGGAATTTATTTAAACAGAGTCCAAGTCAGGATTGAAAGTTTTTAAGTTGATCCATAAAACATGAGGGGGTCATTAACTATTTAAGTGCATGTGCTTGTTTGTGTGTTTAGGGGCCGGCGCAGTGTGATGAGGGAGGAGGATGATGGATGATGGGCAGAGGAGTTATGCAATTGCTCCCTCTGCCCTTATGGTGCTGGGCAGATACACCCCAGCGCCTGAGGCTGATGTACTGCTGAGGATGACACAGCAATTCTACACACTCACATTTTGCCCTCTATAAACACATTTTCTCTCCCGTGCTCACGATCGGGGACAGCTGGATCTATACCGCCGTATCCACGTTGGCTTTGTGTTTTGCTGAAGAAAGCACTCGGGCAGCTGGTTGGCCTATTGTACAGAGATCTGCGCCATCTACAGATGAGGGACAGCTCATTGAATGGGGAGAGGGATTGATTGAGTGCTTGTTGGGACTCAAATGCAGCATTGGAGAGCACCTGAACACACTGGCAACTTGATCTTGCTGCATATGAAGAGCAGGTACCTTCCCTTTAAACTACAATTTCTCAGTGTTTCCTCAAACCGCTCCATAACTACCACGGGAACCAGTGATTAATAAGAAAAAAACTACACTTTGGTCCCGAAAACACCTCTTGTTGATGGGCAGAACAGTTTGTTTCCTCAGAACAGGATATTCCACCATAACTTAAACTTTTGTAAAAGTGTATTCTGATTATCAAATCAAAAACACTGAAGCCTCTGCACATCCCTATAGGAAGGTGCCACGATGCTCATTTCTGTCTTTGCTGCTTCGTCTTAGTGCCGCAGTTCAGCCCGGCTCCTTGGATAGATGCCAAACTATTTATTGAATGGATCAATTGCCTTTGGCAGTCCCATGGTAGAGAAACAAACAACCAGAAATGCAAAGTATTTATTTGGATCCTTGAAAAACAGGCTCTACTTACCTGGTCAAATTGTGCATCTTCCCCTCTCTGCAGGGAACGGGACAGAGGTTTCTCCTGTTGGAGGATGGGGCAAAAAAGGCAAATCAAGAATAGGAGTAGCAGGGATCCCTAAATCGACCAAACCTAACTGTTATCAATGAGCATGTAGGTGATAGAGGCATAATCATAACAAATAATGCTGAGGTAGTTGAAATGTGCTTAAAGAGAAAGAGGATCTGAAGATTAAGATATCTAAGAAATCTGAATCTAAGAAATCTAAGAATTAAGAAATCAATCTAACATGTCCGGCCTAAAAAGTAAGAGGAAAGTCCTAGAAACAATAAATAAGAGACTTTATGTCAGTCGTTTGCTCACTAATTTCATATGTAAAGTATCTTACAGACAACAACATAATGCCCCTCTTTGGACAATTTGTGCATCTTTCAGTTGTTCCTCCTGAGGAGACTAAAGAAACGGCAACCTGGGAAACAAATGTTTTCTCTGATGTGTTAGATGTGTCATGTGCTGCGTATTGGAATTCATGTCCTGCGTTGTGTCTTGATACCAGCTCCTATCCTCTGCGCACTCACCAGCGGCTCGGCCATCACCATCTCGATCTTCTTCTCAGCCAGCACAGCGAACTCCGCAAACAGACTCTTGATGACAAACTCCCCCGGCTTGAGCTCGGGGTCGATGGTGATGCTCGACATGGCGGCGGTGTTGCGTTTCTCCCACGAGAGGGGAGCCACTGAGACGGGGGCACGGCGTCTAATCACGCTGCTGCTGACTGGTGCAGAAGCTGCGGGGAGGCGAGGAGGAGGAGAGGTTAGGAAATATTACAGTGAGAGCCGGAGCAGCAGGTTCGAAAAGAAAAAACAAAGACCTTGAAAAGAATGCAAGGTCAGCCTAATCCAAACACGAGGGAGGACATTTCCAAAAGAGGCAAATTGATGGAAATGAAGACAGAAAAGGAGGCCGATTGCAGAGCTGGGTAGGGCAAACAAATACAACTCTCCCTCAAGTGCAATTCTCTAACTATAGAATCCTTTGCTAAACGTCAACAGCACATAGTGGCCTTAAATCACCTGGAGAAAAAAAAGGAATACAATTATTTTTCAGGTCCATGCTGTACGGTTTTATCAGTTAGAATTGGTTTCAAACCACCACACCACCCATACTTGAGACATGGGGATTGTATTAGTCACAGCTGTCACTTGGGAATGCAGTTCCTGTCTTAAGACTCTTTAAATTTCACATTTCATGAGCAAATCTGCCCACATGCAGAAACATCAAAAGTAACTTTCCAACCTGCCACAAACTACAGCCAGCAGCATTTCCCAAGGACATTAAACTGACAGTAAAGTGGATATCTATTACTAACGTACAATAATAATAAGTATCATTTGTGAAAAGAAAAAGACTTTGGATCTTTATGTTTTGCTCAATTATGCCAGATGTTCGCTCATTTGAGAAACAGAAAACAAGGTTTAGTGATGTTGTTCAGCTATAGTGATTTCTTTGCTCTTCACTCCACATCAAACGTACACCAGCCACTGCCAGTGCTCAGTAAAATCTCAACTGTGGCCCAAGTAACAAACTTATTTTTCTAAATGACTTGCTACTAAAACAAGTTAATCTCTGGGTCCCACAGTTTTTACCCTAAAAAACTGGGAAAGAGAGAACCACTGTACCATGTTTCATTGCTTAGCTTAAACTGAGAAGAAAAGCTGTATAAAGGAAAAGGAAAACACTAAAGTTCGAAGCCCTTGGGGCTCCAACAGCAGTATTAGATTGGCTTCCTGAAACACATCTAAGAGCCACGGTCTCCAGCTCTGCACATTTGCATGGGACACAGATCATTTGACTCTCATATTCAAATACTATAAGCAAATTTAGAAGGGTTTTGGTTAGTGTGCCTACAACGATTGGCAGACTTCCACCTGTGACGGTTAGGAAAACTACAGAATCTAGATTTTTTTTGTATTTAAAAAAGTCTCTGACACATATAGTACAGTCTTGATTTGAAACAGACATCCAACATTATACCTTTAGCAGGACAAAACGCTTAATCTGAGGCAACATCAGGCAACAAGCTGCTACATATGCAAGTGGTACATTGTTTCAGGACATTTAATTGTGCTCTGGAGAATTATGCAACAATCAGGGACATAACCTCCAGACTAGTTCTCAACGGTCTCATTCCTGCCAAGTGTGCGGCCAGTAGTAAAATGACTCTTAACCTCGTTCCCTCGCAGGAAAGGCCTTGCTCTGTTTCTTCCTGGTTGTCACAGAGACGCTCGTGCGTTTTGAATGGTCCAAATACCACATAAGAACGGCGGTGCAGGGAAACGCTTTCCACTCAGAGACAGAAGACGGAGCGTGGGGAGGTGTGAAGATTTGCATGTTCGATGGGCAACATATGGAGGACCTGGTTCTCCGAGAGGAAATTCTAGTGTTCACACTGCCCAGATATTTCTATTAAACTAATTTTAGTTATCAAGCAATTACTCGAAATTTGAAAAACTTGCAAAAATAACTATAATAAGCAGCTATTGATGACTGGCTAACGATCCCTAATAGGGGACAAATCCCTCCCCCAACGTTCATGCTTTGTTTAAATTTAGCTGGTATCACTTCCACATATCAGTTGACGTCTATTCAAGCATCAAAGTATTTTTAATAATGGCCAGCTGGTTCTCTATCAGCTTTACTTAGTGTCTGCTGAACGAACAGCAGACAGAGTTCTTCTATTTAAAAAACACAAACCAAAACTCATTCATGCGTTCCTTGTGTGTGATAATAGTGAAATCACAGAATCAGTATCACTGCATGATGCGACTATTTTTCTTACTATCATTCACGCTTTTGCTAAAACCAATAACACTGATTAAATGGTGTTAATTCATGTACATCAACTCCTTTGTTTACATATTTGCAAATGTTTCAAGTTTTCAATACTTTTTATTTGAATGTGTTAAACAAATACGGGGAAATTTGAAACATTTTAGACGGTCTTCATCAATCCTGTGATACACTGGTATTTTTTCTTAAGATCACCAACACTGTCTTGTGTCTTTCATACAGCCCTGACCAATTTCAAAGGGATAGGTGTGCTGTGGCTCCAATTACGGGGGAAAACATCTGAAAGAAATGTGATATAATATGAATAACAATGTTTGTAGAAACAAGTGGAAAATGAAAGAAAAGAGCTGCGTTCTTGCCTTTTCAGAGATGCGCTGCGTTCCACTAAACTGACGGAAACTCGTCGTCAGCTTCATGACCGAGCTAACCGCCTGCTGCTTTTCACAGCTCCTGAGAAACAGCGAGTGTGTGAAAACTGGGACTAATGTTTACTACTGTGTTTGAGCGGCGGCTTCTGCTCTCAAGAAGATGAAACTTGTGTCCACAGCTTGGACACTGAAGCCAGAGGAGCCGCGAGACAAGACAGACCATGACTACCCGTGCTCATGCTCAGTAGTTTAATTACACGTTTTTAAAGAAGCAAATAAGCCAATCAGAGCCTGGCTTGTGGCGCCGCCTGTCCCCTGCCATTGGTAAAATGGTCAGCAACAACAGGTGAACTGAAAGAGAGCTTTTTTTAATCCAGTCTATGCATTTTTCGTTGGTGTGGCTGCGCAGTAAAAACACGCCGACAAATCTGACAATCAGAGTTCAGTCATTTGCATTTTTCAGTTTCTACCACTGGTATAAAATATTCAACACACCGCTATGGTCCGTTATCTGTCATTTGTAGATAAATTAGCTCATCTGACACATTTGTTGATCACTCAATGTCCTATCAATGACATAACAACAAAGAAATAGTTTTTATAGCCCACCTTGGACGGCGACGTATAATAGACCGTTCCAATTTTCCTATGTATAACCACACAAATATATAATCTGTAAAAACATTCCTTCTGATTCATACCTGTTTATCATCAAAATTTTAAAGGCCTTAACGTAGCCATACAGAGGACTTAAACGTAGACCTCCACCATTATCATTAAGCCATGCCTAAAGCAGGTCTTCTGCTCCTGTTTGTTGAAGCTTCCAGCTACAATAAACTTTATCTACCACTAAACTTTTTTTTAAAAGAAAGAAAGGATCAAATGATGTAATATAACATGGTATGATTGAAAGTGAGGAAATGTCCGGGTTTGGGGTAAGAGCGAGCCTCAGCTGAGCTGTGCCCATGTTGTCTAGCAGCACAGAGAGCCTTTCAAGCATCCCCCCCCCTTTGTTTACTGTGCTTCACCAACAGCCCAATGATGTCATATAGCCAGCTCCTAATGTCCAATCACTGTTGTTGTGGTTTTTCTTCTTTTTTTTTTTGCCACCACGGTCAAACTGGATTGTTAACTTGTTTACATGCGTGAGTAACCCTGTACTTTTCTAGTCAATTGCAAAAAAAAGAAAGAAAGAAAAAGAAAAATCCCACAAGCCCTCTTTCTTTCTCCCAAAGAGAGTCAGATCCCCCCGACAAGCCATCACAAATCATTGGTAAAAAAAAGAAGCTTGCGGGATTTCTCCTGCTGAAACTTTAATGACTTACTTTTGTCCGACAATCACGTCCTGGTTTTCATTCAAACCTAAATGTTAATGTTGGAGGGTGTCATTCTGAACTTACAGGAAACTACCAAACTTTCCCTGTTTTACAGAAAAACAGCTTTTCTGTGAACTGTGTTTGTTTTTTAGTTTGTTTGTTGTTGTTTTTTTACTGCTGCTGCCAAAGAAATAGCACATCCATTCAAGGTTTTCTACAGAACCCGGATAATGTTGTGGCTGCTCTTCTAACAGAGAATAACCGGCCCGACCGGCTGGCTTGTGCTGGTGTGCTGCGTAAGGAGCTATACGCGTCGCATTTTGATGCAAGCGACCTATCCGCCACAGCCGAGGTTCCTGGACAACGCTTAAGAAACGGAGCAAGCTGTGAGATTACACAACTATTGCAGCAGTGACTCCACTTTTTCAGTTAAATAAAACCCTCCCAAACGGCTGCTCACTTCCCCTGGCAGCACTAGTAACAACACACACACATGCACACACACAAACACACAATGATGGAATGCAGGGCCAGGAGTGCATCCATTTTTAAGAGACAAAAGAATTACTGCCAATGTTTATGTGGTGTGGCAAAGCCGATTCAGCTATTATGTCTGAACATGCTCGGCTGTTAGCAGGTTAGTGCAGGTTTGCTGCACCGTCAATCTGTTTGACGGCAAAAACCAAAACAGGGGCCAAATGACAACATACAAATTTTGGGATTTAACTCTGAAAATGTGACTGTCACAAAGGTTGATTTTGGAACTTGCTTTTAGTAGAACGCAGTGGGGTTTTTACTTATATGAATTGTGTTTGAGAGGCTTAATGGCAAACTGGAAGACTGGAACAGGAAGTAGTTAAAAAGAAGAGTTTTGATCAACAAGTAGATATTTCATCATCTTCTGATGTTGAACATCGTTTCCAATTTGTCCTTCAAATAAAATATTTTAGAGTGCTGCAGTTCTTTTCCTAAATAGATGAGATATTTCGAACCCTATTTCTTGGAGTTTACCAGGTGACTCCATGTTGCAGTGATGACACAACATGTCAAGTTCGAGCCAAAGTTGCAATATGTTCTAAATCAAAAATATCTGCTCTCATAAATCCTAAGAAGTCACTGAAATGGTTCTGACCCCAGTTTTTCAAGTCACAAATCCAGCAAAGATTGAGCTGCCTGAGCCGATCCCTGCACATACTGGAGGAGGAGGAGAGTAAACATCAGTGAGGTCGCCAGCAAAAAATTAAGAGGACAAATTTATTTTGGTAACCTCCAAATCTTTGAACTGGGTGAGGGAGTCGGTTCACCAGGAACAAAATGTTCTGGAGGTTTTCTTTATAGTTTGCATGTTTTCCCTTTTGCCTGCATCAAACGTCCCGCTGTGAGGAGAAGGGCTTTGATGGAGGGCCGTTATTTGTTTAAGGCAGTCTGCCTTTTATTATGTCATGTCCAGGAAAGAGCCTGTCGTCACATAAACGCCTTCCTTTATGATTACTTTTGCTTTGCATATTAGCCTCTCCAGCTAAACAACTTGGCCTCCTTCGGCCTACGCAGCTCTATTAGTTCTATCTACTGTCCATTTTATAAAGATGTACCAGGACCAGGTACTGAAGGCCATGTGCTGGCGTCTATGCCAAAAGTAGCTTGGACAATTGGATGCATGATAAGTTGAGACAGATTTCACATGTACCTTTGACCAACACCGCATTTCAGTAAGACTTGAGATGCAGGGCTTTTTATTCCTAATGCATTGCAGGCTGCATAGGAGGCTAATAATAGGAGGAAACCAAAAGACGGATCAATAGCAGGGAAACATTAGCGGCCCCAGAGGAAAGGAAGAAAGAGCTTATAAAAAAGAAAAAGGGAGGATGGGGGAGAGGAATGATAAGCATGAGAAGGCCTCCGAAAGAGGAATTGCCCCTATGAGTGAAAATGATTTTTTTTTTTTTTTAAGTCAAAAAGTTTCAAGTGATGATGATGATGATAAGATTTGGAGGCAGCAAACATCCTCTGAGAGCATAAATACACGAGGTGAACCTGTGTTATCTGTCAGGTGCTCGTCAATAGAAGCATCACCTCAGACAGACGGGAGCCGGGGGCAGCGGGGCGCTCTGATGAAGCCTCCCGCATGCACCCAACGCAAGCCTGACTACACTTGGACTAAACACCATCGCTCATCTTGACAACTTCATCAAAGCCGCTTTTTAGGAGCGGTGAAAACTCCGAGCGGGGAATGCACGCGAGCGTGTGCGACGCCGCCGGCTGTGTGTGGTGTGGACGGAGCCTGGACGCGCCGAGCGTGGTATGTAAACATGTGAGCGAGCTCGGCAGGGTACTCACAGCTGCTGCTCCACGACTTGAGGAGAGATTTGATGCTGATCTCAAAGAAAACCGAATCCTGCAGGCTCAGCATGGCGACGCGGACAAGTTTAGGCTTACAAGGCACGATGTTTAGCGGCGTCCCGGGTTGGTCACTTCCATTTCACTGAGCCTGGGCTTTTTTGCTCCTCTCAAAGCGATCAACATATCACACGCCACCCCAAATCAAATGAAAAAAGAAAACAAATGGAAGGTCTTTGTCCACTGTGACTCCGCCAGTTCCTCTTCCCCTAAAAAGGAGCTGAATACTACCCTCCACAGGTGCTAGTTGAAGAAGGCAGCATCATCAACAACAGTTTAAGCAGCAGCTCAAAGTAGAAACGGTTTGGGAGGTTTCCCCCCCTTTTGTGGAGCAGAACTGCACTGGTGGAAGAAGATGAGAGAGCATAGTTAGAGAAGTACCCCCCCACAGCGACTGCTGCCCACTTGCCAGTCCACAGAGTCCCTCAACCCCATTAGGAAAACAACAAATGAAGGAAAAAAATCCGGTAAGGCAAAAGGATAAAAGTGCAAAGAGTTTCTCAGCTCCTGATAGAAGACAATAGAGCGCTGGGGCTGGACTCAGTAAGTCTTAATGTTCAGCAATATTCCCTCTCCTCTTCCTGTGTGACTGTGTGTGCCAGTCCTAGCCTGCTAGCACTATCACCCTCCACCTCCTCCTCCACCCCCCCCAAAGCTGTATCTCTCTCTATTCGCTCATGGGCAGCCCCTCCTCCTCTGAGCAGGCTCTTGTTCTTTTACTGATGCCTGCTCTTTTCTCTCAGAAAGCTCGATTCAACAGAAAACACAGGGAGGCGGGAGCGGAGTGTGGGGGTGGGTGATGTCATCAAAATGCTGCGAGTGTTCCCTGGCAGTGGTTCAGCAACGCATACGCATGAGAGAGGGAAAGAGAGAGCCGCTACCGAGCTCTCTCCCCGCCGTCCTATCAAGGCAACGCTTCCTGTGAGCTCCACGGCAATACTGATGCGTCATTCCTGACTGCAGTGGGAGGGAAGGGAAAGAACGGGAGGATGGGAAAAGAGAGAGATTAGAGGGAATATGGACTGAAAATGAAGTGTCATGCCGTAGTTTGTGGAGGCTCAAAAAATATATGTCATGCTCCTTTAACTGCACTATGATACCAGCCTTTGTAACAAAGCAGACTATTTACTTTTGTTTTAACCAGAAAGAAGGAGTAAACGCGAGGCATGTGACAGAGATAGGCCCCCCAAAGTATTACTGGTACTTTTCTTCTTGTTTCTTGTGCAAAATAAATCTCTGAGAGCGATCACAGCTCATCTGCTCAAGAAGCTAGCCAGGGGAGTCACAGGCATTACATCACTGCTCTGTCCAGAAGCTACCAGGCCTAGTAACACATCGCACTGTGCACAAACTCACTGCGCTCTGCATTAGAACGGAAACGGAGCCTTCTGAGCTTTTTCTTTTTTTCCCCAATTCTGTTTTTTTTTATGAATGTAAAACAAGGAGAGACGGCCCTGCACACCAACAGGTGCACCTGCCTGTCTGGGATTTTAAGCTTGCACTGATGCCAGTCATTTCCACCCTCTCAAGACTTAAAACGGCATCCACGTGACATCAAGCGGCCTGTGGACTGGGGCAGGATTAAGTTTGTTGACAAAATAGTCTCATGGAAATAGCGACGGGGAGGCTGTGGAGAACAAATGCTCTTTGTCTTCCCCGCGCTTCGTCTTCCATTTCTCTCTGCGCCCTCGGTCTCTCCCTTCGGTCACATGTCCTGCGCTACACAAAGTTATGCAAAACGAGGCATAGCTCACTGCAAACAAACACAACACAAACGGATGCTTTGTCATGCCCTGGCTGGTGCTGGTCTGATGCAAACTTTCCCTGTATAAAAAAGAAAAAAGAAAAAAAAAGAAAACATCCCTTGTGATACAGAAGCAGTTTCCTTTGGACTGAAATCGGTCTGAGGCTTGTGTGTTTTAGCAATGCACATTTTATAACAACCAACGGACGGTTCAGGTTCCCATACACAGTGTCAGAAGTATTTCCCCAAAAGATAGAATCAAAGATGTGCAACTGTGGTCCTTTGGCACATCCAACAAATATTCTGATGCAGCACTTTTACTGTGTGTAATACCTCAGTCTGTCGATATAAAGCCATGAGAGGGCCAGTCTCGAATAGAAAAGGGGGGGTGGGGGATGCAGTTGCACAATTCAACAACTAATAAGGGTGCTTCAGGTAAATTAAAAAACTAACACACATAGCTGGCCGTTCTTCAGAATCAGAAGCCACTGAGATGGCTCAAGTTATTTTCAAATTCAGTCATAAAATGCATTTGCAGCATATAAAGTCTACAGAATTGGGTCACGACTAGAGTGTGTGCCTGTGTGAGAAGCTTTTTTTCAACTGAAAATAGCAAGACGTATCGGATCGCGTCTTTGACGGATGAAAAAAAAAAAAAGATTAGGTAACAGTACTTAGGCAAACGTTGAAAACACTGCGAAGCAGCCAGTCACCGGCTTAATTGTCATGGATCTCTTGGAAAAAACATCTGCTTTGTTCACACATGGGCAAGACGGGAGAGTCCCACCCATCTTTACCCCCAAAGACAGCTAGGCTCATCGGCCCTCTCGCATACAGCTTCTTTGGTTTGTCTCCAAACAAGTGCGGGGAGGCTGCGCATATGGAACAGCTCGAGTCCGTCCTTCTGTGTGTCAGCGGCTATGCTAAAACTTGCACCGACTGAACTGCTTGCAGGAGGAAAGCCAGAGTATTTAGTGTAAACCTAAAGCATTCATATAATGTTTCCAAACAAATCCAGAGTTCCTATTATTATGATTATCAGCAAACGGGTCAACATACAACATCCAGGGGCTGTCAGGCATTGTTTTCTGTAAACCAGCTTTATTGTTTGAGGAATGCCGAAATGACATCACTTCCCTGGGAGAAACTAAAGCTGCTCGCTAGAATATTAGAGCTACAACATTAGAGCCAAGACAGCTGACGCAAGTTGAGGTCGTCGAATAAACGACATTAGCACCGGCTTCCTGGAAAGATGAGCTCGCTGATCAAATAATCTCAACTGAATGCACGACCCAAGGCGGGTTACAGTAAGTCCATTCATAAAAGTGGGAGCAGTGACTGACAGCGAGCCCCTCCAGACTGCAGACAGTGGAGAGGAGATTCTCCTCCCAGGAGCCCAAAGGGTGGAGGATGCATTTCCTGTTCTGGCCTCTCTGAAGGGCAGTGGTGGGAACAATAATCGATAGGGGCAGTAATTCAATCCCTGACCTCCCCAGTGATGCCTGAGCTTCAGAGGACACACCATTTAGATCCATCACAGCGGTTTGACTATGCAGCTCTTTGCTTCCACGTGCACCGCTTGAGCCCAAACGACCCGCTTCCATGCTTTCTTGCAACAATTTCGGCAAGACATTCAATCAACTCTGCACATTTAGACTTCATTTTTAAAAAAAATTGCACGGTCTGCTAATTATAAATGCTAAATGCCATTAGAAATGCTATGCTGTTTGGGTGGATGATGAAACCGGTCTCTATTTGTAATCAATATTAAAGCGCTTCAGAGAGTAAATCTGAAATAAAACACGTTAATACGGGGGAAAAAAACTGTTGTTTAAATGATTACGCGCTGCTTAGTAATGTTGATGCAGGGAGTGCTGGCTGGAGAGGCATCTAGAATTGTTCATAGCATTAGCACAGACAGTGGGTACTGACCTGCACCATTACGAGGTTTCCCGTCAGCACAGATGACAAATAAGTAAATCAGAAATAAGCTTATCCAGTCTTTCCAGATACACGCCCTGTGAACTATTCAGACTGACATCACCAAACAGAAGTGCACGGCCAATCATAAGCACCAAACACTCCCTGATCCCAAACAAAAAAACGGCTGCACCCAAAAGCTGCCCCGATCAAACCTTTTCCAAAAAGCCAGCTGCTGCTGAAGCAGCTGGGAAATGTCTCTCCATATACAGACACAAATCCTTAATATTTAACTCTATTCTGAAGCAATGACCATCTTCTTTTAAGTCCAATGGACTGCAGCATCGTGTAACTCACCGTTGATACCCCTGCCACCAACAGCATGTTGGAAAAAGGAGACTTTTCTAACGTGACGGATGTTTCCTAATTGGAAAGAACAAAGACAGAAGAGGGAAATAATTGAAGACGCGTTGCTAGGTTAAGTAATTAGAGAAGCATTCTTTGAATAGGATTACCAAACTAAGAAGTGCGGTAGGCAGAAAGCGCAAAACACACAACAAAGTGCACTAGATATGAACTGAATCGGGGCGACTAAACTTCAGTTTGATTCAACAGTCTTTGAAATTCATGATCAGTCTTTAGAAGCAGAGCCCTGCACTTTTCCAATGTCATGCTCACAAATAATCCCTTTATCAATAAATTAATGATTTTAAAAAACTGATAAGGACAAGACGCGAGACATGCTTACATGTGAGGGATATTTTTTAAAAACAACAAAAAAACGTCATCACACGTCGCACTTCAAACTGATACATAAAACCTTTGAGAGAACCACGCTGCTGTGCCTCCTCACACCGCCAACGTCAGGACGAGCATGTTGCACTTGAACACACCTCAAAGGCATTCCATGCCGATATTATCTGTGACCGTGTTGCTAATTAAAACAAACACTGTGCGTGCCTCTCTCTTGAATACTGGGTTTTTAATCTTTGGAGTTACTCCACTCCACTTGGCCGTGCCGTTGTGAGAAGTGTTTAGCTTTGAACATATGAAGACGTATGAAAGAGGAGATTAAAAGCGACCACATCAGTTTGCTTTCTGGTTTTCGTCACTGTAACCAAACTGAGCTGAGTCCAACGACCAAGATGACGCCCCGTACACAAGAGATGTTCTCCCCTGCTTCTGGTATAACCCTTTTCAGTGAATAAGGACCTTTTAACCCAAACATCCCAATCAACGTTCACATTAAAAGGTATAGAAAGCATAAGAGCATTCCCCAATTCGTTTACACGAGTGAGTAGATATTGGTAAGTTAGTCTTGAGCAAGGACCAACACGCCATCGAAGTTG